AAAATCCTGCCTAATTAGAAATGGATGTTTGTTTCTTCTGCGAATGATAAAGAGGGTCACGTTTATACAGATAAGTTCCGTTTAATTCCGAGCGTGAATCGCCCACAAGTTCGACTCAAACGTCTTCGCAGCAATTCTGCGAATGCTTTTTTGACAAGCGGCACCGAAAAAGAGCGGGTGGACGTTGTCGTGTTGAAACTTCTGTTCAATGATGCTACATAGTTCCATCGAATTTCAATCTGGGCTATACGGCGTACGGCTTCTCTAGATATTGAGCTATTCATGGTTTATAAAACAATTAATAGTTTATAAAACATGTAGATAGACTTCTTTGGTGGTGCGTTGGTATTTTACTAAAAATGCCCTGTCATGACGTCATCCCCTTCACGTTCAGAACATGAGATTTTTTTTGCTGAAAATTTAGTTTCCTCCGCGTCCCCCTGGTTAAATTAGCAATCTCTACAAGTAGTTTTCCATAGATAATAAAATGTTTTTAAAGCGGAAAATCAAAAAAGACCCGCTGCCTCATTTCGGAAATACTTGGGGAGCAAAGCATATTGGCCAAATTTCTTTGTCTTTATTACCCCCGGCCAGCATCTGTTTTACTCTCTTCGTATACGACATGTACTTCAGATCCTTATGAACAATCAGTGCTTGTGTATATCATATGTTAACATGAAATTGCTCCGTTAACAACCCGATTAACACGAGTGGCACGTTTCGGTGGCGTCGATTTACTTTTGTCCTTTTGCCTATTGCCTTTTGTCCATTGTAGATGTTGTTTTATGATATACTAAAACCTGCTTCGGTTTCTTGAACAGCCACTTACCTTTTTACGATGCTACAGACTGTCGATTAACTAAAAGATAGGATTTGTGGACACGTTACTTGATAGAGCGTTGCAGTAAGCTCTGCAGTTTGCTTCAACTCATCTTACATGGTCACTGCTGCAGTGGACAAATCAATAATAGCAAATGTCGGCAAAGCCTATTTGTTATTACGTGCCACTATTGCCTTCTAAATAGCAAGTTTTTACTTCATTTGAATACGCCTGTCTGCTGCCAGGCTACACCTAGCATAGCTTACCGTATCAAGTAGACTAGACCTGTCGTGGGTGACTCGAGCCTTCGTTTACCTACAACGCGAAGTGGGTGAAGTCAGGTGCAAAAATGCTAGAGAGCGCTAGAAAATGGAAGCCTTAAACATCAAAAACGGCCATTACGTTTATGAGTGGCTACTTCGCACATACTACATAGGTAGTAGATGTGAACACGTAGAGTATATTTAGAAAAGTTTGAAAATAATGTACAAGTTGAAAAATCTAATTTTTTGCTAAAATCATTAAATATGTTGCCTTATTCAAAGCGAGTCATTGACAAACACATCGTTACAGGTATAATACATACATTTGATGATTTTTACTTAGTATTATCAGTTATCCATTCTATATGAACAAGTCCTCTGAACCTCCACCTACTTTTCAATTTAACATCAGGGGCCTGCTCCGTTGGAGGCTTAATCCGAGTGAGTCTTGCTGAATTTATCTGAGGTTTCTTCAATAGGCCTATGAAACGACGCGGCAATCACACAAGCACTTAACCTATTGAGAAACCTCTTTGTTTAAAAAAAACAGAGCAATATCTGAAAGATAGGACAAAAGATAGCAATTGCATCAATCTTCACCCCAATAGAAAGGCTAACGGCTAGTAGGACAGATATACCTGGAATTGTATAGCGGCATCTGATGGTACGACGTTAGCGTATGGCCTATGATGGCGTCATCAGGCCACCGATTCATCGTTGTAGTTGATGTCTTTTTTCAATCTTTGGCCATCCTTCAAGCCTTAAAATCCTTTCCGTTACGGTGCCGGCCACTTTTATTAAACGCTGTTCTGGAAATACCTGTCAACCTATTACGCATAACAAATATTTGGTTAGTGGCCACCATAGCTCCCAAGGTCGCGCGATACCTTGAAAATATCAACCTGCACAAAACTTTGTCCTAATCCGCGGCCATTACTACAACCGTTATCCCTCTGTATTTCAATTTCAATAAATCTTGTTTCAGCCTTCTACTTTTGCAGCTTGATCATGTCAATCCTCTTTGATTGCAGCCATTTGTTATATAAAATAATGCGCCTCTTAATGACGAAGATAGCGTACGTTTGTAGCCAGTAACTGTTCCAGCCAGTTACATGTCAGTGTATCTGTTGGCGTTCATTTCTATCGCGTTCGTTTCGAAGTTTCAACGCCGTCCTGGCTCATTCTTTCGAAAGCTTGCTTGTTATAATTAATAATATAAGGACGTGACCCTCATTATCGGACATCAGCTGTGAGCGCACTGTTTTGACAAGGCAACAACGTCTTGCAGCCGGGCTTAAGTGTATTGTTCTTGAGCTCCTCATGTGTTTATACACTCAAAGGGATGAGGACCATGTGCCTTTAAGAAACTGTGTTGACTGGACAAGTGAAAAAAATGTATGTAAACCATGAGCAACATTTCCTTTGGACCGGGCTGGTACCGGGAACTATTCTAACCCCCTTAGAGCGATTGATGAAAGCTTGTCGAAGATATAAGCTTGTTTCAATTAACAGACGGACATGCCGTCGTATTTTAAGGCCGATAACCATCCTGCTATCTTCCTCTTGCGTCCACGAAAGAACAAGATGGCGTATTCAGTCGTTTAAGAAAGCTGGCGAGTTCTAGATATTGCCTAGGAAGTTCGAACTACATCACTCGGGGATATCTGGTATTGTCAACAGTTGATTAATACAAACACCGTGGATAGGGCGTTGGGTGTTGTTTGTTCAAAGCTCATTGTTATAACCGCTCCATGGAAACCTAATTTCGAAAACTCACATATTTTTTTTTTGAGCAGCCGTATAAAACAGGACACCCTTTCTGTTGGTCGAAAACGCTTCTTCTATGACAAGACTCCAATACAAAAATTTTTTACTGTTTTCAGGTTAGATTTTTCAGGTAGACGATTGGAATGAGCACCGCAGGTTAAAAGCTGTCCATAAAATAGGCCATTTGTATATATTAGTATTATAGATAATTTATTCTTAATCAAGAAAGTAAGCTCTATATATCTGACTAGTGCATCATTTTTGAGATTTCAGTGACCAGATATCGTCTACCTTGGTGCGTCACCAAGTGATTCCCCCTATTATTACTACTATCATCAACAAAGGACAACTGAAAATAAAACGAAGGGTACACAAGAAGATTGATAGGCCTTGTTTCACTTGCGTGCGCCAAAGCTTCATGAAATGTCGTCGAAGGATTGTCCTTGTGAGACAGTTATAGAATTTTGGCCCAGATATTTTGTTTCCAGTGAAAGGCATCTATCCTGGAATTTTCGATTGGCAACCGTACGTTTGCTATAGAATGAAACCCGATAAAAGGTCGATGATCATTGTGAAGGCCACTGACGGTCAGCCTGGGTACGCAAATGACGCGCGGTCGTAACGTATCCAATGACGCTGTACTATGTGGGACACGAATTATTTTTGATGCCCTAAAGAACCTCAGCAATCTGTTTGTTAGTATGTATTTATTATTACCGTTATCGCATTTCTGTGACAGTGTATGTTTTGTCAGTATACAGACCGTAAAATTCACTGACTTCTTATGGGAGATTCATACTAAGATACGTGTGTCATATTTGGTGTGTTAATCAGTGGTTATTAATGAACAACTTAGCATAGTGGCCAATGTTACTATTAGTATCTAGTTTACATCGAAGGTGGCAACTGTTATTTTTCTCAAAAAAAGTAGTGCCCCTCTAAAACTTTTCGCCTACGTATTTGTTAGATTCCTAGGTGTTAATCCTGCATAGTCTTGCTACTGCAAAAATGTCGTTCACCCGACACTTCTTCTGCTGATCAGCCTTAAATTGGTAACTCTAATTCAAGGTTCAATTCACGAAAAACGGTGCTATAGACGACGTAAAAGAACTAAAACGTTAACGCAGTACACATAACAACGATTTATTTATTTTCTGTTGGCCGGCTGTCAGCGTGCAATGTTTCCCAACCCCCGGCTGCGCCATATCCATAATGCAGATCAGCAGCGATCTAGTATTCGCTTGCAAAAAATAACAGACAAATTAAAAGTGATTAAATATTTAGAGATTTTCCTTCCTGATATATCCTTCTGCGTGGACACAAGATCAGGCGGACAATTACTTACTATTTATTGTGAATATTGCCTTAAGCTTAATCCATGTCCAACTAAGCGTACAATTAGCAAACATTTGAATATTCCGCCTTTCGTCAGCTTGCATCCGCACCCTCTACATTGTCATTATCACAAAGTCTAACGTCAACACTGTCTAGTACGTATACTGTGAACTGAAAGCAAGTTCTTCCCTCTGATGTTGTATCTTCTAGTCCTACTGAGGCCAAGCAAGTCCTTCGAACGAAAACAAAACGTGATTGTTTTAAGATGACCGAAAATGCTGAGCCGTGAAACACGTACCTGTGGCCCGCGTCAAGTACCATTAAGCATAGCCCCCGTCCTTGAAGTTGTCAAGGTTAAAATTAGACATTCATACGAATCGATCCGAATTTGGCCGATTGTTTTGTTTTGAGCTGGAAGTAGTGATGAGGATCAATTAAACCTTCTCCCGATGGAGACCTATTTCCGCTACACACGTAGATGCTTATGATATAATAATAGTACATTTAATTATAGGTTTTTTTTGCCTATCTTAGATATGCTCACTTTGCTTCGCTGTACTTATTAAAACTGAACGCAAAGCGCGTTAGTCTAGGCCCCCTAGTCTGGCATCATTTGTTCTATAATTTTGCCCGTTATCGCATTGCATCCGGTCAACTCGATTTTAAGATGATCCCGCGATAAAAGCTCTTATGGTACCACTTGTTTACAACCATTTTTATCTGTTATTAACTGTATCTGTCCGCGGAAGCTTGATGCGGTCCTGGTAACAAGGGACCATTGCGGCTGGAGCGGCGCAGCTGATATCACGCAACGACTAGACAGTCAACCAACTATACTTTCACATATCGAGGATGTAGAACGAAGCGGCGGAGTATATTATGGCGCGAACGAACATCACGCGATATTCGCCCATCTCCTTTCGGGTTGAACCGCTACTGCCGTTGCTGGGTTTGGATAGTTCCGGAGGTGTCTGTTACACAGCGGACCTAATCAAGCTCCCACAAACGGTCAGATATTAGCCAAAGTGAGGAGAAGCCTCAGTTACTCCCGCCGGGAACCTGTCAGGTGAAGAAATACACAGCAGATGAAGGTCGAGGTGGCCTTGTTGTTGACTGGTGCCTGAGTTCGTCGGAGGTACGTGACCTGCTTCCTTGCGTCACTCCTTGGATCGTCTCACCTGTTCTTGCCAATGGTTGGCTAAGGAACAATTAGTGTAGTTTATACTGTACAGCCGGTAAACTGCTAGGATCTTTTGTTTGTTCCCTTCTGCTTCCGTTGTATTTCGGGATTATATGCATTTACATTTGTTCGCTGCTGCGCTTGTCCACGATTCGGAGAATTAGTGGCAGATATCGGTGAATATAGTGCGCTGTTTATCTTATCCAGCGTCGCGTAAGGACATATTCTCTGTTTAATAAGTGCCCCGTCGCTCGACAGTACCCGTTGGTGTGCCGTATCGCCGATCAGAGATCAGGGCAACAACGTACGCACTGCTACTACAACAATGTATTGCGGTCGTAATTAACAAATGCAATTATTTCGTTCGCTGACTGCAAAGAAACTTGTCGGATTCTGGTACCTAATCTTTTCTGATGATGATGATCCGGTGACAGCCAGAGTGATTATGCTACGACTAGCTTATCTACTAGATACTAACATTGAAAAAATACTGTTGCCCCTTGTCCGGTGATCAGATTCGTCCTTCATTTTTATGTCTTCGATTTCAACCGGTGTAATTGATTAAAACGAAGCTGAGCAATGGAACAAATTATTAGAATTTCAACATGTATTCCGAAATGTGATGGATGATGTCAAAAAACAAAGACTTGCATAGATGAAGAACAACGTATACGCCATTAGTTAGTGCGTATAAACGATCTAATTGCAAAACAACTCGTTTTGGTGGCGTTTTCGTTCTATCAGTTTCATAGTACTGCCATGTAGTATCGCATTTTCAACAAAAAAGTAGGATAAATTAACTCGATACAAGATTCATTATAAGGATAGACACAACACAAAGTTAACAGCCAAGGCTTAAAAGGAAAAATATTGCCTATTATATATATATATATATATATATATATATATATAGAATATATCGAGCACCTTAGCCAAACTATAAAATTTAGTCACGAATGAACGTGATTGTACAAAAATGCACTGCTATTAATCATATTTCTGGGTTAAAGTAAAAGGTCAGCCATTTATTAAGTGCCCGAGAGGCGTATAAAGACGTTTCCGTAAACTAAGCCAATATATGGACAATTATACTTCCTCTTTATCTACGTAGGCTTAAATAGAATGGAGTTATAAAAGATCTAGGAGACTGAATCCCTTACTTGTGGCCTAATTATGCCTCACGACAAATGAGACTCCACAGTGACATGCAATGATTTTCACATGAAGCTTCTGCATGTTAAACCAGGGGCATTATCATGTATAATATTTGCAGCAACCGTTTCTCTAAAGTATGATTTAACTGATACTTATTATTTACTGTGATCAGGAAATAGAATTTTAGCTTCCTTGTTCAACGTCCCGTTCGTCGTTGCTACAGTCTAGCTCTTCATGCGGGTAAAAACGGGCCCAGTTGGAATACCCAGATGGAGCTGGTATTTTAGTCGGTCAGAGTGCTTTATGGATGTCATCACATCACAACAAAAATCCTACCGTCAGAGTGATGTTGGCTCAGAGCTTCAACACCTTTTGGCAATGTAGCCCTGCACAACTTCCCCGCCGCAGACATAACACTCACATAGGGATTATCCCCGTGCTAGAAAACTGAACGCTATACTAATGTAATTAGCAGCGAACTTTCAATGCTGCTATTCGTTGCGACCAGAGCAGAAACTATTACTACTTGTGAGTGTATACGAGCCTATATGTGTATCAATGCTGTGAGCCCGTTTGCGCAGAAGATGTCAGCCAATATACGTGAATATGGATACGTAGCAACGTTTGTTCAGCTCATAACTGGTTGTCAACGTTCTTTCCGAAAAGCTAGCGTTCAAAACCTAGGGCGAGACTTTTTGGACCAACTATGGTACCACACGTTTTCATTGCGTACATAAGTACGTGCCTTCAGCTGGCGGAGTGTTGATTGACATACCCCAATTCGCCACTGCGTGCATTGATTTCAAGCAGGAAACGATTCCGACCTGTCGTCCGACGCAGTTCTTGTAAGTCTGACATTGACGCGCTTGCATAGGGATTGCTTTGGCATATTTTTACTTACAGTTTAAAAGAACGGCCGAATCTATCTTAAAAATAGAGCAGATCTCGTTTACCCTTGAACCACAAATATTTGCTTCTAAGTTTCCTTTTACATGATGGAATGCCTATTTAGTAATTAGGTTTACATAGATCTGGTTGTTCGCGAGCCATACATCATATGGGAGCACGAACGAAATAACGATACCGGAAACAGCAGTCGCTACATAAAGGGAAGCCTGTTTTTCAAAATACGCTATTCTTCCTGCCCCAGAGAAATTAGGAGAATCCTTACTTAAATTTCCAGAGCTTGGGAACGTTTAGCAAAAGTTTTGATCACCAACTTTTTGTTATTAGAGCCACAGAGAGTGAATTTAAATGTTGGAATACCTGACTAAAAATGAAATCCTAAATTGCGTTCTATTTGTAAAAGTCAGTCGCTCAAAGGAACAAAGAGAGAGTGTTACAACAAAATTATGAGAGTTTTTAGAAAATGGAGGCAGTAGAAAGAGTGGCTGTGGCTAAAATACTGGTTGAGTCATGTACCTAACGTACTTCTAGCACTACACCGATTCGGGTAAACGTTGTCCTTGTAGAATTTTTGACCATATATTTTTGGATGTCCGCCAAAATCGATCGGTGTTTTGTCCAATCGATGAGGACACAAAACTTTTCGTTAAGGCTTTATGTTACTTTGGTCTTGAAAAGCCCTTAAACGCAAGTTTGCTAGCAAATACCTATCAAATGGATAGCTCTTTTAATTCATGCTATCTAAAGCCACTTGAAAATCGACGTACCTAGAATATTATAAACGGCCTAGCATAGAGTGGGGCCTTTCTTCAACATATATTACATGCTCGGCTAGACGCCAACTTGACCAGAGTCTTTACTCCACTGATTCTCTTTTTATAGTCGTGCTTCTGGCCATACCGATTTATAGAATCCGTATATTCCTTCGTATGCCAGCCATGAAAAATCAAGCACATATATCGAAGGAATAGTTAAGCCGAGCAAGGAGATACTGTAGAGGACATGTCGTTTTCCATATCAGTCAAATCAAGAAAATTCGACCGTATTTTAAAAGGAATTTCCATTACATTCATTCTAATGAACAATAGCTACCTGAAAAAATGTTTTAATGTTGACTATAAGGACCGCATACGTTTTAACGTTTTAGTTAGGTAGATATGTCCTATAAAAGTAGTTAGGCAAAGAAAATACAAACGCGTTCTTTTGCGAAAATGAATACCTTTTTAAGGTAGTCGCAAACGTTGATTGACTGGTCGCCTAAAAAGCGCAAATTTCAATCTTTATGGTGAGCAACAAACCAAACAATATGAATCAAAAAATATTATGCTTCGATCATGCTCAATAATGCCTTATATATGCGCAACGTTAGCCGATGAAGAGCAACTACGTCTGCTGCTATGGACCATGTCAGCTAAAAATCCGTTGTAAGGACAAAATAGGAGATACACAACAGAGTAGACTTACGGGCTCCGTAGGTGAAACACTTTTTCACTAACTAGTGGCCTTTGGCCGCACCATTTACATCGTCTACCCCGCTAATTGTGACGAATGTGAGGGCAAATATAATTAAATTATAAGCTTCTGGTTTCAAGTTGAAGTGCCTTCCGAAGGAACGATGAGGAGAACATGAGCGACTGCTCTTCACGGTCTGAGGAGCTATCAACAGCCGCTCCTCTGACATGATCGTTGAGAGTAGAAAGCGGGCGGGCGAACGAGCAAAATGTGCCACAAGCTGGTAAAACCAGTGGGGTGTGGGGTAGGTAAGCCTGGGCTAAATCGCCAACTTCGTATCTCTCCATTGTCGCCTGTGCCAGTGTGTGCGGGGCACATGGCGAGCTCTCGTTGTCAGCCCTCGTGGCAGCGGGGTTGGGGACTATTGCTACAAACACACATGTGATTGAGTTTGGTCTGCCGCAAAGATGGGAACTTAACTTGGTCAAATAATTGACCTGATTGGTACGTTTTGTTTCGGCATTCGACCACGTTCCCCTAAATTGCAGAGCTCAGCAAACCGCTCGCCTATCATAGTCCTAGGGATCAGATCGGCCTAGTATCTATCCAAAACGATCCTGAGGAAAGTCTTCTTGTTTTTCGGTGCTGCGCATTGCGCTCCATTCGCGACAAACGTTAACCAATTACTGCTGCAAATGTGCCGCGTTGCAGCGTACTAACTCGTGCCCATCGTCAGCTCCTCATCGTGGCTATGCGTAGTTATGCCGGTGACACCGTGCGACATGTGAATTGAAGATGCACAGTGTTTCACCGCAGCGATTTTTTTTAGAAGTTTCTCTTATTATTTCATGAGTCCTAGGGGCTTATAACTATTGCGTTGGGAAGATATTTCCGTAATTGATCATCGTACGTATGATGGTTAACCTCACGAACGAGAGTCTCTGTGTCTAGATACGTACGAAAATATTAAAGTTACTTCAGTTTGATTCAGTATCCAGGCTATCTCCAGGTTCTGAGCCAGTTATTCCCGAGTAGTGAACGATAGTAATGCTTGTTCATTTAATGAGATGATTTTTGCACGCAGATGGAATCTTATAGGTCAGAAGGTGAACTTGTATCTAGTAAATTTTGTATTCGTCTGTTATATGGTTTTACATATAATACATACATTTACATATATAAGTTTAACATAAAATATCTAACTGTGTTTCTGTTAAGTGGTGCTAATTAACTTACATGTAATCATTGTATCTATATGTAGAGATAGCGACTTTCACTGATCTGTTCCGAATAAAGGACTACACTGGATAACATTTGAGATATTACAAGCCGGGGATTAATCAATATAGACAGAGTCTAGTTTCAAAGGAGTATAGCCGGTTAGATGATCCGATTGATGTTGGGGCCTACCGTGTGTTTGGGGTTTTCAATAGATGCAACAAACGAAAAAATCAAGCTTGCCTTTTTGCTTATCGATCCATGTTATCGTACGATTCTATTTGAGGATTTTTAAGAAACGTATTTTAGCAAGATTGCTCACGCGAGTCGCTCGCTAACTGCTAAAAATGACTGCGGATTACGTTTACTTGTAGTATCATTTTTACAGTACTACATGTTTTTATTGCTGTTGCATTCATTAGGCCTAGCTCTTCTCGCTCCTTTCAACTAACAAGGATCTCTAACACGATAGAAGTAAGTAAATAGCGCAATTTTGAAGAGGTAAAAAACCGAGATGGTCGACAGAGCTAGACTTAACATTAAAGTCTCGTATTTGTCAGTGGCTGTAAAAAGGCGAGCAGCGGTTTTTGGTTGCATGGGACGGTAGGAACTTATTGTAATATCAACAAGCGCGGTAGAGAGTACAGTTCAAACACAATACAAATAAGAATTGTCTCGTTCGTGACATAGTTTCTTCTCATTTGACCTTAATATAACACCTCTCGTTGTTGATGCTTTTAATTGTAAGTGTAATTGTTATTTACAACTTGCTGAACGAGTTGCATTTTATTGAACTTTCACGCTTATACATATATGGAAAATGCCCCGTTCAGGGTAAGAACGTGTGATAAGTAAAGCTCCGTAATATAGCGTTTGTGGGTTACAAAGTGCATGGCTCATCATTTCTGTATGCTTTTAAGAAGTTTTTTGAGGGCCTCTTGGATATTTTCTGTTAGTTCTGTATTGCCTAATGATAACATTTATATCCGTTGTTAAGGCTATTTGCGGCCCATCTCAATTGTGTGATCGTACCTGAGCCCGAAGCGTGTCTCTACGCTTACATATTTAAACCTCGAACAGCACTGAAATAACGTCAAAGTGACGGAGAGTGTTTATACCCTCACGAAGCTATAGGTAGTTGAATCTGGCGAGAATCTGATGTGTTTTGCTATCTACATGATGCAGTAGCCAGAAGCGTCTTTCATTTTCCTTGTGCCTGCCAAAGGCTAGCCAAAGACACTCGCACATATCCCTACCATTGCGCGTTTTCTATATATGAACTGGGAGCGATGAAATCTCATCATTTAAGTGTTTACATCGGGTCCTTTTGCATGTATTGCAACGGAAAGCTTTATCACAGAGTTTGGTCAAACGCTGCACCCTTGGGTCATTTTCTCAAGGATTGCGTTGCCACAACAATGCTGAGAAAGCCACCTACCTTTACGATACTAAGCGTCATGGAAGGTTTTTTTTAGGTTAATTCTATTAGCCATAACGCTTAGAATTAGTATAGAGTAATTGCCCCCGTGGTTTTAAATTCTTGTATAGATACTCCACGTATTCATATGCTTACATGGGCTTTCACCACTCCGAAAATGCGATACCCAGACACTTTTGCACCCCGGAAAAATTCTGATTAAAGAATCGATATTCTGGCAAAAATAGAAATTTAAAGCGGCTTCTACCTAGAAAAGATATAGCGTCTTAGAAACAGAATTGTGTATACATGGTGTTGTGGATAGATTGGAACTCGCAAGATTATTTATCCTACCGGGGATGCCCGTCATTCGGGAAGGGGATCAGTTTTTTGCTAGCGTAAACCATGAGGAACTTAGTTCTTGCTAGATGAGCGAACGCGGCAAAGGACTAGGAAAAGTAAAAACGACAGGCCAGTAGCATTCTTGACGAACCTGTGATGCCAAAGCAGCAGGTTTTCCTCGATTTCTTAGAAAAATGTTACCCAAATGAATCGGAACCCCTTAAACGGAGGCGTCTCGTTGTTTAGAATAATAACCCACAACCAAATCTAGGTAACCATCAAGCATTTGCACTCTCATTTTGCACAGTATCAGAAACCATTTTATCAGAAAGACAAAAACATGACCTCACATATGCGTTTCGAACAGCTAACGTAGGCAGCCTTACCATAGAAATGTTCTATTACAGTCCTTTTGAGCGCATGGATTATTTTATGGAAAAACATGCTTTATTATTATTCCTTACTAGTGTAATCTCCATGAGCATCCTAAATAAAGATTTCTTTCGCCACATTGAAAACTTGAATGCTTCATTTAGGAACGAAGTTAACTGCATAGCCAATATATGAAGCTCTGCAAAAACGGAGTGCACAAGGACAATAAAGCTACTTGCAGAGTGAAATCCGTCTGCAATAGTTTGTTCGTTTGATGAAAGGGTTTGCGTCTTATTTGTCGATGTGATTTGTTAGCTGGATTTAGGATCCATTGTTTGTTTAAGAAATGGGTGCATAGCAAAGCAAGCAGTGTTACGACCCCTTCCTATTAGACAATGTGGCTGGCTCGAAATGGATACGCGAGGTTATGATTTGCCTCTAGACACAGCGCCTATTTAACCTAGATAATCTACTTGGGTTACAGGACACGAATGAAATAAGATAAGTACCAGATTTCTTCCCTCGTAGACTTAAACTTTCAAGTTATTCACTTTCTAAGTAACAAGCACATTTGAAAACTAGAGGCATCAGTCAGCTAGCAAGTACAATGCCTTCTTTTGCAATATTCTTGGCGGTAAAAAAAAACTAAAATCTATTTCTAATCACTGGTTTCGGACATCACTACAGATGGTGCTTTTTGACGACTAAGGAAGTTATGGTACTGCCTTGCCGTTACATACGTATAATGTACACACTTACCAAAATCAAATACGTCTTAATAGTTGTCACCATTATGTAAGTTTAGCTAGACCATCTCTTCTAAAACGTCTAAAAAAAAAATGATTAAATTAAGACAATACTAAATAGCCCGTAAATAAATCCATTTAACGAAATGCGTTGAAGAACGCCTTATTTTTTTGAACGCTTCGTGCTGTTAAAGCAAATGAAGAGTGTTCTAGAGATTTCCAGAGTGTAGTTGATACGCTCAAGCCACTGATCGTCTCGAAGCTAAAAGGTGTGTGGTACACAATGGCATCACTGTTCAATATATATATATATATATATCTATCAAGGACAATACAGCTTGTACAGTGGCACACGCAGTTATGTGTGTCATAAACGCGTGAGACATCTTCTCTTATAAAGCCAACTGCTAAAAGTAATGCGTGGGCTTTTCCCGAAGCATCAAAGAGAACGCAATGAAAATGAAGTACTTCTAAAACTAATCCACAGAGAGTGTCTAGAAACGTTCGAAAGTACGCGCCAGTCATTTCGTGTCGTCGAAGCAGGACAGAGTTACATTAGCTTCATATACCGAGCGCTTCTTCGCCCGTATAGAAAGCCGCCATTATAACCAAGGGTTTCTAGCCGGCGTCATGCCATACACGCTAGCAAATGAAATCTCTGAACCTCATAAATATAAGCTAAGTATTAAACGGCTAAGTCTGCTATGGGTCAAAAGTGCTCTACCAATAGAGGCTGTAAAGCACACAATTCTACGTAACACTAGAACACTTCAAGACGGAATCGGGATACATATAGTTGTACTGTTGGATCAGAAGTGTCGATGAGAGAAGCCGTTTACCGAATCTTATTTGATGAATCCTTAATTGTCTTTCTCATATCACCAAGTTTTCGCATGGTATCAATCATCGGAAACGATCCGGAGAGAATAATACAATATTTCTCTATTGGAAGCGGGCACTTTGAAATCGATCGAAATTCTCTAGGAATGATTTAATAATGTTCGCTAAATAATATTTAACATCTCCTTCAGACCCTCTCCTTCAGACCCACTGGGGTTTGGGCTATTTACGATCTAGATCTAACAACATGGTGCGTATATATTCTATGCATTAATTAGAAAGACGGTTATCATAAAAAAAACAAAACAAAAAAACTACTTAAAATAATCTTTCTTTTTTGCTATCCATATATCTTTTTGATACTAATCGTACCTCAAATGACATTACAAAGCGGAGGATTGCTGCCGCCTAGTACCGTTCAATTACGTCGCATCTAAAGAAATCTAACGAAATTAAATTTTGCCCTGATAGCGGGCCGAAAGTTCTAAAACTGTAAAATTGTGTAAAATAGCCAACATTCAAAGAAGCAAAAACACCTGGAAAAAACTTATCGTTAGAATTTATCTGAACGGGCGAATTTGCAACTGATATTCTGCCCTTGGAAATTGCCGATCATTGCAATATAAATAATCCAGGTGTATCAAAAATGGTTCTCGATTTAATTCTTTCTGATATATTTAAGTTTAAAACCCTATTGTGAATTCGTTACTTTGCCTCATGCAAATATTCTTTAGATATTTCAGAAGCAGCGTCAAAACTGATAATAGCGGACGTCATCTATTTTGGGGCAAAAAGTTTTTTCCACCGTGAAGCTTTTCAACGGCGAACATTTCGATGAAGCCACACTCTGTTACGCCAGGATGGCTTTGCCTTGTGTTAGAAGGGACTGACTGGCTTTATTGTGGTATTAACGGATGAAGGCATGCATGCTACAATAGACATCCCGTCAAAGATCCAAACGAAACACACTTTAGACATGCATATATATATACACTCGACACTTGAACCTAAGCTACCAAAACTACTAAGCTGTATATAACGTCCGTTATATACATGGAACTTATTGTGTGTAAATACTCTCATTTTGATTCATCTGTTTTTCAGATAGTACAGATTTGTGTAGAAGACGGCTAACTGCAGCCTGTTTCGCGGTTACTTCCTCGTTAACCCCTAGCCGATGTTCATCAACCACCTCGAATGACACTTATCAAGAAAACGACATCCATTGATCGCTGCTGGTACTCTTATTTTTGCAAGAACTTTTTTACGTCTCTCAAGTTCATATTGGTTATTTTAATGATTTTTTTTTCTTTTAGTGAGGGCCGATGTCCTTTTATGTTCAAGTTAGGTTAAGATATTTACGATGATTTAGTAGGAAAAGGTGGTCGCATACGTTTTTGCTTTAATAGATTTTTGTCTAGGGTTAGCTGTGGATACCACTGGGAAAAGCGGGCTTACTCGACCTGCCGTTATCTGTGTTATCACACATATCTCTGTTGTGTGCTGCTCCTTAAATTGACAGACCTCTGCAGCTATATACTGACATGAAGTCTTGTATCCACGGGTATCGGATAGAGAGAGAGAGCCAAATCACTCCCTAACGCCCTTACTACACTCACAAGTTAAAATCAAATTCCAAACTACACAAAGCTAGTTAGACTTATTACTACTGTAACTATAAATCGATTTTTTATCGTTTTTAAAAATTGATAGTTAGTCACTCATCCTCATTCAGCTACGATAGCTGTACCCTGTTTGCCCAGCTAAGTTGAAGGAAATGCCTTCCTACCCAGCGGGTACGCCCGACAGAATTCCCCACTGGGTGCGACTTCTTGACCATGTGCTAGCATTGACAATTGCCTGTCCGTTGGTGTCTCTTCTCTGGTGCGGAGGCTTTTTCCTGACCGATACGTACATCTACCCCAATGATAAGCCGTTCGGCTACTGGTTGATCTTCATCGTTGGTAAGCAGTACATTTAAATTATCCACACTCATTCTGTATATTTATTGCCATCGTCAACGATGGAAGAATTATCTCATTGAGCAGTAAAAATTTTTAGGTAATCACATTTTGTCACACAAATGTAAAAAAAAAAAAACATTGTTCATCACGACGAAAAGTCCAGCCTGCATTAAGAATAATCTGTAAGGTTCTTTTTGCTGTCTGGAAAAAGGCTTTTTTTTTTTTTTTTTTTTTAAAAGATATGAATCACTTAACGTATAAGCCAATTGACAGCCGTAATTTTTAGTATTACATAAGCAGTACTCGTAGTATATTTTAAAACGATAAAACTATTAGGTGTCGTTTGTCAGCGAGCCTTTCATGTGCAAATAATGCCAAACCAGCTCTGGAACAATGATCTTTTGCATGTTTGATCAGGACATTGAAATAGTTCAGGTTCATTAGGCCTGCGTAAAGTAACTCCATAGCAAGGCAAAAGGGAAAAATTCGCTCGCTCTGTAGAGATTGTCGCCTGAAACACCTTTCGCAATGCAATTTAACGAGCTTTTTTAAGTTAAACTTTCATAGAAGTTAGATTTGTAATACGCTGATAGCCGACGGTACGATGCCACGAATACAGACTTTATTAGGCTGCTACACAAGTTATGCGCAGATTTTCACTGCATCTCTGTTCTAATGTCCCTGTTTGTTAGTGGTCAAGTATTGTAAGGCTTTTTTTCTGTTCTGTTAGGCTATTATAATCAAATCATAAGTTTTCTCATAAAGTTCAAGAATGGATATATTTGGCGGTAAATATTTTCAGCTCTACGCAACATTTGGTCGTTGACAGATGATCAATTAGAAATAGAAAGCGTTAAATAAAACAAACATTATTTATTTACGAATCTAACAATAGGTGAGACTAATACTCGTTAAACGCCCGCTGGATTTTTAAAAACTATTAGGTCCCCGGACTAACATCGGCTCAGTAGCGAGGATCTTCAGACTCATACCCATATCGGTGCTCATGGGCAAACTCATTTGTTCCATTGTTGTCCTGTTAACTGAAGCCGATAAAACGCAATTATAAAGTGACTTGTCGACGAGAAAATTTTCATTCGAAAAAAATGTTCCTTCGCAAAACTCGTAGCTATTTGTCCTGCACTTCTCGTTCCCGTTATTATTCGTTCAGAGCCTGGATTCTAACTACAGCAGTTTCCACGGTGTGAGTGGCGCAGTGAACCAACATATGTCTACTGTTGGGCCTTGAATCACGGTAGGATGTGAACGGAACGACGCGCAGGGCACGCGTCAACGGTAAATAGAACTTTTGAATATTGTTTCAAGCCAATGACGTTACTGCACACTATTTAGAAGCACAACCTGCGACGGTAAAACTTTTCAATATGCAGACTTTGTGTCGGTACTAGTAGCATACTTATTATATTTAAAATATACGATAGCTCACAGCTAAAAGGGAACTGCTGCATGAATAGTTTTCTATTTTTCACTCATAATAGTGTGTCTCTAATAAAGAAACCTCCATACAGAAACGCGTCAAACTTTGTTTATAATGTAACACTGCTGCAGTTTATCTGCAGATGAGTGAAACTATCCTCCCTATGTAAACGAAGCAAAACACCAGAGGTAAATGCAGTACTTCTGTGTTATTAGGTTTTCAGTATGCTGTTTACAATCGACACCAGTATACGATAAGTTCTTGAGAATTATGAAACAATGTTTTTTTCGAACTTTTGGGTACATAAGTGTATTCAGCATATTGCTTGATATGGGCGGGAAATTGAAACTGATCTTTTCAAGCAGTAAAAGTACTTACTACTGCACGCCAGAAGGATCGTCCCTGAAGCGATATACCGAAGATATCGCCGCGAAATCCATGCTAGGAATTGTACACCATCGTATGACTGCGTTCTAGCTGGATTTTTACATGAGTTTTCTCCTATCCCATAAACAAGCGCCAAGCGAACGTGTTGTAGCTCGCATATGAACTTAAACTACCCTAAGCACTGGTTACTATTGTTACGTTCTTGCGTTGCTTATTGAGAATATCCAGCTTTTATAGGGGATTTTGGGCTAGTAATGTTAAAAGGTAGAAGACGAAATTGTCTCTTATCGTAAAATGTAAAATAAATACATTATACAGGTGCCAGTGGGCGGGGCTTCATTGACGCAGATCTATAACGCCTGAAAGCTTGCGAAGGTGCACAAGTCAAAAGCTTTTCGAAATTTCTTGCAGTGAACGATAGCCGCGGTAGCTGATGGTATAGTTTGTCACTTGCTTAAAAGGTCGATTATTTTGCTACTGGAGGCATACACTTCGTCTAAATAAGAACAGCTACAGTTAACAAGCTGGACAAACACGCTATGAGAACCCACTGGAGACGGCTGGGATTGTTCGAAAAAAATCTTTCCGTTTCAAAAAAGCTTTTTTGTGGTTTTTTTTTGTCTTTGTGGTACAGCCATAGACAAATCAGTTTGCTCGATGGCTGATAGTCAGAGCTACAGTTCACAGAACTGTTGGCCGGTCGTCCCAAATGGATAACAGCCAATTTTTGTTATTGATACGTGAATAGATGTAGCTCGCCATAGACAATACCGTTGCCGTAATTTACTGAATAAATCACTTTCTGTGCTCTGCTAATTTTACAGGATCGATGCTGTCCCTTAATGTGCACATTCATTGCGATTCGTTAATTGCTATATCTGCCAGGTGTCCTGATTCCGCGCAGCTCTTGCAAAGGCTCATAGGAATCGTCCTTATCGTGACTATCGTCTTTCAATGGGATGGGCTCTGGTGCCTCCTCGATTACTACTTAGGTCATACGCAGATATCATGCTTTTACTGCTGGGCACTGGGTTAGTATTTTTGATTGAGGCAAAAACAAAGGAAAGACACCTAGACATGTTTGATGACGTATGCTTGTAGAGATCTACGCTTGTAATAAGGTTGCGAAGTTCCTAAGCATGAGATAATGCATTATCTATGGTTCTGTGCCAATTTTGTTTTTGAAACGGTAGGTCTTTTAAGGATAGGTCTAATAATACTAGGGCCGAGATCCTAACTGCACGCATCGAACAAACAACTCAAGCTGCACTTCGATTAAGTGAATTACTTACGAAGAATTTTGAACAGTAGCATAAATAGAAGACCAGCATCAGGCTGGTGAATGATGATGGCGCTAAATATTTGCCTCTGAAGATTAGTTGTATTTGTGGTAAGTTTGATTTATCTTTTAAGCTAAACACATTTATAACCTAAATAAAAACCAACAGCGCTGATTGTTGTATCAAAAATAGCCTTGACAATGGAACTTGTAAAAAAAAAACAAAGGAAAAATAAAATAAGTTCTCAAAGGTAGGGCTGTAAACATTTTCAGAACACTTGTTGACCTCTATGTTGGTCGATGGCCGATGACTTCTAGTTGATTCACTTCAATGTCGTATGGTAGTGCAGTGATGATGTGTTTTCTTACAATTACCTAGTGGTGTAGAATTCGGGCATATACACACTTCGTTTCGTATTAAGAGCCATTGGTCTGAAGCAATGGCGAACGAACGTAACATTTCAATTTTAATACTCGAGTACTTTTTCCGACAGTGTGAAATTTCGTATTTGTCGGCGGCGTAAACTGTCGGCAATGAAAGGACATGACGCTCACCCTCATAGAGGACCCCTTCCTAAACCTTGTTTTTAGTCGGTTGCGGTAGAGTAGAGCGGACCTACTTTTATTTTCACGAAAACGTTTGAATTCAAAGAAAACCAGGCCACGGGTTCTTAAGCCCTTCACGGTGCGGCTGGCAGCGTTTTTTCGCGAAAAAAAAAATTGACTTGTAAGAGATACTATTTTTTAGAACAGAGTAACTATACGAAGTCCTTTTGGTTAAAGTTTGCCTCTAATGGCTCGATTCGAACCGGGTTCGAACCGGACAATTCGAAGGGAGCAATGATTAAGAATGGAACGATTCGCGTACATGACTGTTTTTAACATCATCTTAGTTGAATTCGGGATCGCCCAAGTACGTGGCAGTGGAAATAAAAGCCATATTAAGCTAGGGGTAAACGTTTGACGAAATTCTTCAAGATGGAATGGTGCATTATTTACAATTATATGTTAATCTCCCTCTGAAGTGACCGGGATCTAGTCGGACTATTTTAAGTTTTATGTCTAGTGCTCAAGCTATCTAAGGTATTGTCTTGAAAGGTCTGCTCCTGGCAGCATGAAACGAAATGTGGTATGCCCAGATTTGAAACTAGACAATTATATACCCCTGAATCTATTAGGTAAGCATGTTACCACCGCAGGAATTTAAAAGTAACAATGCTAACCAGGACGGCCGTTTCACGCCCGGCCGTTTAAAGTCGGCTGTGCTATTTCTGGCTGAAATACGTTCGTACCGTGTCACAGGGCGCTTAAAGGCCTAGTCCTGTCGAAAATAACAATCATAACGATGACATTGCCAGATTAATCACGATGCACAATAAAAATTGAATTAAACACAATTGCTTAACTAACTGCCGTTAGCTAGCTACTGGACACTTTCATTTTTTGTCCAGTATCTATCTCTAGCTAGTTAGAGATGGGAAGAAATGCTAGCTTTGATGTACGGAGTTGTTTGTATCTTGCCGATGTCATGTTAATCTATATTGGAAGTAGACGAGAGTAGGTTTAAAGTAGGAGGTCTAGGGGTAAATTAGTCCATCATCTGAAGTTTAGCCTGAATGGCGATGAAAGGCACAAAGTACCTAAATATTTTTCGCTTAATTGGCTAGACACGGCCGATATACCGCATACAACACATCTTCTGCTAAACAGGCAATTGTGCTTTCTCGTATAGTGAAATTTTACCGGTCCTGTTTTTTAAGGTTATTAAATAGTATAGTCTTCGTATTGTGATTATCTAATTATCATACGATAATAACTGTCATATGGGCAACGAGATCCAGCTATCGGGAAGGCGTGTGATAAGCAGTATAGCAGTATAGTATAGCAGTATAGTTATTGTCGAGGTGTGAACTGCGACCAAATCGCTTTCTCGCCCATAGCATAACTACTTAAAGCCTTCTGATACGCAGCTGAATACTAATTGAAAACAGCTCATAGCAGCAGAAACTCGAAAGCGAGTAGATTTCGTCAACCCTCCCGACCCATTTTTGGCTGTTATCGGTAGATCGGCTATGTAAAGGCGGCTGATTAGACATGCGGTACAAAATGCTTTAATTGTATTTTACTTATGAAACAATATGTGTATACAGCCATTACGTCACGTTTCATTTACGACAATTATGTCCAACTTACGTGATGCTGGTTGGAAAATTATTGCTATTGAATTTGTTTTTTCTTTAGGAAAATATATTGCCTCGTCAACGTCGAAGGCTGCCTTTCGTAGTAGAGTAAGGGCTCGGCAGAGGAGGGTACACCATGTTTGCACTGATCTATGCATATGTCTTCAATGAACAAAATACCGTTGCATTGAAAGCCGAAGACTATTGTTGATTTTTCTATATTGAATAATCTTGAAGTGCAATAATGAGTTTGTGTTAAAATGTTTTAGGATAATCTGTACATAGAGGTGCTATTAGGGCAATACACATATTCATATGTTACCCTAATTGTTATTGCAGGGACTGTGGTGCTTTGTTTGACGGGATGCCGCAACAATATGGTTACAGGGGTGCCATTTATGTGTCGTCATGATCGAGCTGAACTGCTCTTCGCAGCTACTACCCGCTTCCATGCAAAAGTTCGTCCAAGAAATTACGATTTACCTAATTTTCCCTAGTACAGTACGAGCAGGATTTGTTCGCAGATCTTCACTAATTTTGGCACTTAGTCATATCATCCTAGAATTCGTGCATCGTATCGTAGGGATGCGTGACCGCTCCCGCAGTTCATAAGACTGAGAATACTGCAAGCAGGGAACATACTCTTCAGTTTAAGCAGTTCCAATATTTTCGCACTCGATATGGGTTAGATTTATGTATCCGTACTACATCACGATATTACCTGACAAGATTTGTGCTGTAAATTGTCAGTATGACCCTTTACATGCATGAAGTCCGATTTTGTTATCCGTATTATATTTTTGGTAATTGGATTATTACATATCTATCGTTTCGCTGGACAGATGCTTATGTTCCTTTCGTATCTTCAAGTATCTTATTTACTCGAGTTCGATACATAGGCAGATCATTTCGGTCACGTTAATGCACCTTTCACGGATGAAGAGAGGTTAACCTTAAGTAAGATCACCGTTGCAGACAATAGGACTTTCTCGATAGGGATTTCTGTATGGTCCAATCGCACCACGTTCTCATTGCACGACGTTTGAGAGCAATAGTGCCGTCACTCTTATCATCATGAAGCTAAATGGAGGATATTAAGCTAAAGTGGTTCTGCGTTGGTTATTTTTCCAGTCCTTCAATCAATTAGTTATTGTTAGCTCCGAGTAGATAAATGGTCAAACAGTACGGCAATCCAAAGCACACAAACAGACCCCGTACAGGTAATGGCAACTCGAGCTTCAGCAAGAGAGCCCTATGATTCTAGTAGAGACTTCCACCCCCCAGTGCGCAAGTGTAACTAAACAGCGGACCATAATTGGCTCAAGTGAGAGCTATTATAACGATCGATCGATTGACTAGACGATAGATTACCTTAGACTCCCGAGACCCAAATGGAGTGTACCTCTTCCTTCGCACGCTGTCTCCATACGAGAAAGCTCTAGGTTCGTAAATAATTAAATCAATCAGTGGTAGTACGTCGATTATGGAAAAAAATAGAACTACGTACTATATTTCATTCATTTAATGCAGTAAAATAGATAGCAGGGTGCATCTGTATACTCTGTGCGCTTAAGAGACGTCCGCAGTAGAAGGGTTATACTTGACTATGCGCATGAAAAGTCTATTGTACTATTGTTTTTTATAATAGGTAATGTTATTATAATGTTGAAGGTCATTAAACTGTATATAAGCTTGCTAACTGCCGTATATAAATTCCGTTCCCTCTATTAGAAACACTATTCTATTTAATTAACGCAGCATGTTTATATGTAATTAGAGGCCAGTTGGACGAAAATCGGGCGGGCTTCTACTCACAGGCATAAAGTGCCTTTCTGATTACGCTATGGTTATTTTACTATGTGTGACTTGAGAAAAGATAAACAGTTAATAAATGGAATGAATGAGACTGTACAGTTCAGATCACGTTTGCAGTCATACGGCAGCCGTCTCTGGTCGTTCTGCGATCAGCTCTTCTCCATTTTTGTGGTTCAACCATCTGTGATTTTGATTTGGCGTGGCCTTTGGAACATCCAGGACTACACGTTACTTCCAAAAGATCCTGTCAAATCTGCCAATATTTCCTGCCTCGCAGGTAGGTGCCTAGCAATCGTATTCGTGGAATTACACTGAGGTCTCGACATCTTTACGCGTTACATAATGTACAGCCTTTCTTTTTCCACGTAAAAACTACGTAGTATGTGCAGGATATCGTAGGTAAGACGTGAGTATTAAATTTGGAAAAATAGCCTTTCAGTTAGAACAAAGACTATTTTCCTAAGGATCTTTGGAGGAATACCGCAAGATTAATCTGAAGATTGGTTACGGATTAGAAGGTAACTAAGAGCCAGGTCAAAACTATGAAGTTATCAACAATTGAGTAGTATAACATTGAAACAAATGCTGTAGTGAACCATTTTATTGTGCATTAAATTTCTAATCCTTTGTACAGTATGTTTTTACGGTCGCTGCCATATATATATGCAAAAAGTATACTTTCTTGTAACACGTTTCTCTCAAGCCGGTTACTTTATGGGCCTGTGATATGGATACGCCGTGTGTGATAGCGTCATCATTGATCTTCGGCAAAGTTTTGAGACCATGTGATGATTGCATTTGGCTCTCAGGGATGAGCCATGTTTATCGATGATGTTTATCTCTTGCATCTTTCTCTCTCCTTTCCCGAAGGTGTTTCTAACCGCCTCTGTCTAATCCGCGGTCTGGAGCTAACTCACTCAGGTCTAGGTAACTCGGAGTAAAAAAAAAACCTGGTTACTTCGTCAAAGGTGTAGAAGCATCTGTTTTTGTTTGCTTGCGTCGCATGCCATTGTCGTACAACAGTCATAAACTTGCCACTGATCCAACACGTACCAATAACGTGTATTGTCTGCACTAATTTGCCTACGGAACAACGGATCTGTTATGTGAAGCAACAAGCCGCAAGGTGCAAAATGGTTTGAGACCATATTGCCTCGAACTTAAACATAGATCTATGTTTACAACATGCTCTTCGAAGTGTTTATGTTACAAATATATTTAATATCATCGTCAGATTGTCGTTGGTGTCGAAAGAATATGTATATGCATGTACCTTAAAACTGAAAAATTAACTTTGCTGTATTCGCACAGAAGGCCCCATTATTCCCTAGATTTATTTTCCATCTAACCACTTTTCGAAGAGCTTATACTGTGAACTTCTCTAAAATCGACAATTTGTCAGGGTTATTAAGAGATCCAGAAAAGGCAAGATTTAAAAGAAAAGTTAGATAAAGATCTCCTTCTGCAACAACCCCATATATATATATATATAGATGGAATTATAAAATTTGAAAAAGCTTTCTTATTCATACAAACCGTGTAGCATTTACGTGTCGTTGGCAAAACTCGAAGCAAATAAGGGGCACACTTGAATGAATAAGCATTAGCGACAATCCTGCTTTTAATAATATATGCGTACTCATTGAGAAACGTCTCGAAAAAACATTGTTACTACCAATCAGTCATATCCAGGCGTTCCTTGAGGCATTATGTCAACCCAATCATGTTATGAAGCCTGACCTTATTCTATCTCAGCAGAATGGTGAGTCGTTCTAGCTACTTACTTACCTATTTTGTCCTTGTATAGTATTAGTAATGCACTCACACTTAACTAGACCAGTTTACAAAATACTTCTCCTAAGAGAGCACGTCGCAGCTATTAGGCCCTCAAATTGAAGACTTTGATATTTACTTAATAAATCCATTGGCATAAAGCCATAAACCATAAAGGGTTTAAAATCACCTTAATTCTTTTATAGTCCTCAAGGGCAATTACAGATTGTGTTTTCGTAATTTGATGCTTCTATCACCTATTATTATCTGTTATCTATTATCTTCAGTCCTTCACTGTGTGAACAAGATTTTCGTTTGTATTGCTTCGAAAACTGCCAGTAGAGATTATGTCAGATCGACCGGAAGAAATTGTTGTTCTTGTATTTTTAATATGAGCAAAATGAACCCATATTAGTATGTTCTCTCTCGGGCCTTGTGCCAGTGCGGAAAATGCCACGTGATAGAATAATATAGCCAAACTTATCCAGGCACAATTGCCCTTTGTGGACTAAATATTTTCAGCTTTCGCAAATAAAGTACCAAATGAATCAACTTATTCCGACGAAAGTAGAGTAATCTGCAACTATAATACGTACAATAATAGATATATTGAAAAAATCCTATCTTTGAGGCTCCGAGGGAATCTGTAAGACGTCTACTGAGTTATCGTTTCGTTAATTCGAATAGATCCGGACAGTACGAGGCCAGTGCGAAAAGAGTGCAGACGCTCCCCACGTAACAATGCCTAATATCATACAAGCGTAATATTGCAGAGGCCAACCATAAAGTTAATTAAGTTCTGTTCGTGATGTGAAAAAGAGCTTATTTAACGGCATTGGCGGCCGTGTACAGCAACGAGCATAAAGGAATGGGCTCAAGATGTGTTACATTGCGTTTATTTTGACCTATTTCAGGCACTCTGGTGACTATTGTTTTGTACCTTCTCCAAGATTCTGTAGCAGAAATTACGCTTGCATTGAGACCCTGTGCGCGATTCGGTGTCGAGCTGGTGTGGCAGCAGTTAGCTGTGGCCTCGTCGGTAACTCTATGGAGAGGGCAATGGGTGTGGTTCGCGTTAATCTTCGAAGAATTGGCCTCGATGTGGTTTGTGACGCTAGCCGCTGGTTAGTTCTTCATGGAATGAAAGGCTTTGTGAATCCTAATGATATTCAAAGAGGAAAAATTCAACAGTTTACCAGGTCAAGTTCATCATCTCAAGTCGATTAACTTACGATAAGGTTTTATCTTCTCTAATCCTGAAGAACAAGGTTCGGTTGGGTGTGACGAGCAGCTCTTGATCGAGACCATAAGCTAAACGTACCCACTGAGAATTCACTCGACATTTTCGCTCGTTGTGGTGCAATTTCAACGGTTCAAATCGGTCTCAGATTTTCCAAATAGATATATCATATGGAATCGGTTTCAATCAAGAGAAAAATAGAGTATTTCTCAGATTATATTAGACGCTCCTTGTCCGAGCAGTCCTCTCAATATAAGTGATACGTCAAGATAGTTCATTGCAGTTCGTAAGTTTAAAATCTGGTTGTTTGATATCTGAATTCGAAGGAACAATAACATGCAATTATGTAGAAAGAATTTTATAAATGTAATAGAAATAACACATACATATTAGCAGAACGGGGATGAAACGGAGGCAAAGTAAGATACGCGCCGACGAAGGTCTGATCGTAAATCAATTATTTCAGTGAAAACGGTGTCAAGTGCCAGAGGTTGCTTTTTGGTGTTACAAAACAATCTGCTAATTCCATAGGTAAGATCGAACACCTCTCATTAGTTACGAAAACAAAGTGAACCTGTTTGAAGGGTCAGTAAACGATAATAACCCCATGGAAACGTGGCACGCGTACAAAGATATCCTCAAAAAAATGGCTCGGGAAATCTCAATGTGTGAATTGCATTATCTAGAAAGGTTAACCATGTTTGTTATTCTTACCGTTACCGCTAATTATCTAATCCCCTTAAACTTTTATTTTCTGTTGAACTCATACGAACGATCGACCGTTGGAAGAGATAAAATTATTTTAGAATTATAGAAGATATTCTGAAAAACAGCATCATTATAAATAATCAAACCTTCAATCGTAGAAAAGTTCGAAAACATTATCATAACATTATGAAAGACTTTTACCAGACATTGCGATCACTTTTGTTATATATATATGTCTCAGGGTGTAAGGACCACTTCTAATTTTTTGCCCAAAGCTTGACAAAGAAGCTATTTCGTCAGTATATACATTGTGAACCTTTCCTATCGGATTCTTAACCTTCGAAGAGCACGGATTCACATCAAATATGCCTTTCCCTATTGTAATAACTACTCTATTCAAAGCACGTATTGACGTGACTGGCTGAAATTGTTGGACCTATCTTTGTTTGTATTTGCATCAGGTCTAGGCGATACAAGGACGGAGGGACCATAAGACGATAGGCGTGGTACCCCTGTTATTCCTTTTACAAAAAAAATTGTTTCTATACAAGCACAGACAGTCTGGCGGAAACTACAACAGAACACTGTATGTCTACCTATGAAATGCCCCATCTGCATGTCTTGAAGGTTATGTACTTCCGAGTCGATGTATGATAATTCTACGACGTCCGGAAAGCATTGAGACTACTTTGTAGGTGAACATTGTACCGAGAAAATTTTCCTTGCCTACTTCTAAGTATCTTTGTTAATTTTATATTATTTCAAAACGGAATATATATTGTAAACCCGTCGAAATGTAGTATGGCTCGTATACGATATGCTGATGCTAGTCCCAGAAGCTACCGTAAATATTCCTCGAGTGGTGAGATAGTTTCTATATATTGCGACTACATCGACCTACATCGTATCACTATCAAGCTGAAATGAAACAAACCGCGATATTTTCGAGTACACGAATGCAACTGCACTACGGTAGCGTTGGCCAGCATATGATTGAATTTAAATCGACTGTTCTGAGAAGGTGCGTCTTTATTTTGTGGATGATGCAGGTTCTGTCCTGATAATAATTCGACCTGGCTTTGTTGTTTGTTTGTTTGGGGATGTCCTGCTGATAACTCACCGTTCCTAGAATCACTGATAATTTTCCAGCCAAAAAAATGCGCGCCGTTTAAACTTTATGCACTATCAAAGCGTTGTTATCGACCATCTTGTCAAGGTGACAAAACCGTTTTCAGTTATAATTACTACAGCTTTGATGACACCTTGAATTATGAAATTGCGCCAAGCATAGTGGAACTTGAAACGTTCTCTGACCTTTTAGTTTAAGATCCAGTCAGTCAACTTATGCACGAGACGTTAGGCAAAAGGCGATATACCTTTTGTCCCAGAAACCGGTCTTTTATGTGAAAGAAATCAAAAGTACCTAAGATACCGCAAAATGCGCTCTTCTCCTTTTCTGTTATCTGATGAACCTTGAAACCGAAGAACTTGCAAACTGGCTGGGCTAAATGATATTTGTTTCCCCAACCCTCTGGCAATTTCTGAACAGCTATGTATCTACCATTCGGATTTTCATATTGTTTATCTACGGCTTCTCAAAATGAACCGATAGTGAATATGCGTATCTGTAAATGGTGCTTTTTAGGGTATGGAAAGTCCCGTAATCACATGAACATGGACCTAGAAACTAAATGGCTCAAAGCTAACGTGGGTTATTAGTCTCCAGAAAGTAATTGAGGTATGGTGACGACGAATGGTGTTGTCATCAAGAAACCAGACTGCGTGTTTTCGATTGCCGTGTTAACGACCTATCAGTCTCTGGAGAAGCTATAGATAGCAATTTCTACACACTTTGGCGAGCATTTTATAGTAGCAGATGCTTCTGATGTAAATTGCAAGTTATTACCTCACGTCCGAACTTCGACATCGAGCTGGATTTCTTTCTCCAGGGACACGGCGTTCTCCCATCTGGTTCTTTTCCGACTGGCAATAGAGATCTAATTATGTCTCGTCTATAGCGACCGTATGCTCCAGGTGAGCTTTTTGTTAATTAAGGTTTTATAAAATGTACGTGGAATACACAACACGCATTTCCAACTGGTCTGGAGTCAATTCACTGGGTACATAAATTGTACTCAGTTTCGCCGAGATTACAGCTTAAGTTCGTATCGTAAACCGCTTACAGGCTCGTTTCCGCGAACGGTGACTAAGCCGACGTGATTGTTTCCACGCTCTCTGAGCTTCCGTTCAATAATACTCCATGTATGATAATCTAGTGTGTTAAACTCTGGCCTGTCTAGTATTCCTGGTCGATTATTTTACGACAATTGTATTCTTAATTCCTTTTTAGCACTTTCGCTGTGTCACGTAAAAGTCAGATGCCGTCGATATCGTTGACCAGGATACAAGCAACCAATGCTGTACTAACAGGCTTATGTGCGCCGATCCACCGTTTCGTTGATGAACATATAATCTTTCTTCAGACACTTCAGCTGTCCGCCAGTGCACTGAAGTTTGCGAGGCATGCCGATAAATTTCTTCAGTAATGCGTTCGCCTTTCTGGAAGAAGGATGCTGGTATGACGTCTCCTCACTGGACACTACACACAGAACACGAACTTTTGCCTCTATCCACAAAGGCCGCATCCTTTAGGTCGTGAGCAGGTCAGCAATCATTCACGCCGTTCATTTTTTCATCCATAATAAAAATTTCACCTCAGATAAACATAAAGGCAATTTGCTGCTCCTCTTCCGAAACAACTAAATAACAAACAATGCCGGCAAATTATTTCCGTTTTATCGTTCTTAGAAAGCATCTGCCTAACTTTTATGACGTGACCTTTATGTGACGTGTACTTGAGGTTTTCGTGAATCATCCGTGACTCTGTACGCTTACCTAGATCAAATACTTTCACACTCTTGTCGAAATGAAGGGTTCACTCGAAATGCGGTTCAAGGCGACAGTAAATGGCCTCGGAACCCGTTTTCTACCGTGGCTTCTTCGTCACGTTGTGTTAGACATTACTTCTGCTTTTTCTGCAAGTGCACACTCATTTTTGGAACACTGTCGATTTAAGGGTTCACAATTTCGAGATATATATATGTATATATAACAAGACGTTAAAAAGCACCGTATTGGTTGGTGCCGTAAAGGTTGGGGATCCAAGAAGTGTATGAGATATTTGTACGACACCGATCTTACAAGCTGAAGGGCTAGAGCAAAGGCTAGAGATAGAGTTGCGGCTTTATCCATCTCTAGAACATATAATACAATGTGTGAAATGACAAAATACCGTCATCAATATCTGCAGCTGTATGACGGGCACCCGACTGCGAAGTACCTCACTTCTTCAAATTCTTTATTACATCTTAAATAATGTATCGTATAAAAAAGTCTTTCGTCCGTTATCAGGTTGTCCATTTAGGGTTATTACAGAAATGTATGCATACAAGTATTTCCATTCAGTTAATACTGGACGTGGTATCGTTTTTTGTAAACGCCTATCGAAAACAGCTATCTAAAAATGCTTCAAATAGTACGAATGTATGTACACTGCCGTTTTAACTTCCAGTTAAAATCGAGCCCGCAAGTTATTCTGTGGAGCGATGTTAATTAAACGAAAGAATTACTCTTGATAATATGTCAGCTGTAGTTGACTATCAAATCCATCGACTAGCACGAGCATCGAGGGGATTTGCCAATCCTGGAAGTGAGCGGGGATCCTCAGATATCGTTTTGATATATGAATAAAGTTACATACGCCATAGGTGGCAGATATACACAAACCTGTTAGGAATTTTATAACGTTATTGAAACTCTCGTTTGTTCGGGAAAAACAAATACAATTGATTATACTATATACACTATAGGCCAGTGTATCGTAAAAGACGAGACGGCACCGTAGCTATAGAAACAGCGAAAGTATTTGTGAACTTCAAAGGAGTGTGGTTTTGGACGATGATCTCAATAATGGTGGCAAAGCTATTCGATAAGCGACGCAAAAGTTCCATGCGTTTGGAGTTGTACCACCTGTGGTACTGTGACATCCGTGTGTTGAACCGGGCGCCGCCACTGTTATTGTTTATGTGACTTCGGGAGCGATTACCATCAACTCGTCTTTACGCCTCTTTTTTTTTTTTATTTATCTTTATAGCTCATACGTAATACGTGGCGTACTGATTTTAATGTAAACTGTTCCGTTCATGGCACAATTCATACAACTGTGCATGATGCTGGAACCAAGTGTTTGTTTATTTTAGTGTCAAACGGAAGTCCTATGTGCAGGGCATTTTATGGCGAGGCAAACATCTTTTGCCGTATTTCGACTCATGTAAATGAGCTATTATATTACAATTTGAAAGCAGATGAAATAAGCTAGAGAGGGCGGAGAACGAAGGCGGGATTGATGTGATCAATTTATCGTATGTTGTTTTCTTAAATAGAGCGGAAAAAATATGGCGCATGCATGCAATATATATGCTAATGTGCGTCTGTGGTCTATAGACACCTATTTACTAGCCCTATATGCGGCATTCAGCTACCGAACGACTATCAAAAGTGTGGTAGCCATCGTTGTTTGAAATTTATAGGACATAATATGCTATCAATTGATATGTTGCTTGAAGGGAATAGCGGCAGAGGCGCTTTCAGCAGATGGCATTAAGCGAGCTCAGAACTGAGCCAATCGTGAGACCATTTCAGCAAGCACGTCAAAACAGTAAAACACAGTATGTGCTTAAATTGTACGTACGTGTCCTGTCTGTAAAGATCACCTAGTTTTCGGATAATGTGCACCTGTGTTTGGTAGCATGTTGTTGACTGAAAAGGTGGTCCAGGCCAGGCAAGTTCGCAGCTTCCGGACAGTGATCAGCAGGGTTGGTTTCTTTTTTCTAACGAAATTAGACAGTTAGCTTGTGGCAAAGGAGGCGCACGTTTACGTGATATTGATATATGAGCTAAAACGATTTCATGTTGGGCTCCATGACTGGACGTCAGAAGTGACATATTGTGAGAAAGCGCGGATGGCATTACGGTGAGCATAGCTATGCGAAGATTCGAAAACCCAGTGTCGCACAACCTACTTTTTCGTGTGGGCTAGTTTTAGAAATGTACTACTGTTCCAATAGGCAATTCAAGTTTCTGTGACAATGGTATCTAAGTTTTGAAAACGAACCGCTACTGCGATGACCCTCGAAAGTTAGGTGGCCAACGATTAACAAAGTTAAAGGCGAAGCACATACGTTTCAACATCGATTATTGCCATCGTGTTCGTTGTAGTGAATTCAAAAAATTGAAGAATAGGACTAGGATTGACGCCATAGCAGATCTCAGAAACCTCTATTGCTATCAATATGCTTATCGTTTCACGATAGACTGAACCATTTTTATAGCCCGGTATCCAATACGGATGTACGAATCTATAAAAGTGGCCGAATCAAAGCTGGTTTCAATTCGACTCGAAACAAATTTCAAAAAATAACTAAAACACACATGAACTATACTTAGCCTGACTTGGCCTTCGTCACAGTTTCTGACAATATCGTTTCCTTTCAACGTTGCTCAGTCTGGCCTACGCGACCTGTGTAGTCAAACAGATTGGTTGCCTATGCTGTACGTTTTAGATAACATTTCAGCGAAAGCCAATTCTAATTTCGTTTTCAATTTCAGGATGGATACTGACAATACTGAACATGGGTGGTCTTTCGACCCAGCTGGGTGCTGTACCCGATCCGCCGTTAGACATAAGAACCGATGTGATCCGGTTCCCGATAGATTATGTTGCCCAGATATATAAAACGCACGTTCAATATACGGCACTTATCAAACAACAACAACAACAACAACCTGGCCAGGTAGGAAATAGGAAGCAGGTTTACACCTGGACAGTTTGAAGCGTTGAAGTGGTCAGCTTACTTTTCAGCAAAATAGATTTTCGAGTGGATCATTCGTGTGGTAGTGGCACACTACAAATATATCGTTCGATCCTAATGATGCGGGTGGCGTCCTTGAGCTATGTTGCAGGACATTTTACGGCCCGTCCAGTTGGGTGTTTGAAGGCACAATGCCTAAATGCGGAACACTCTTTCAGATATCACTCCGTTTTTATTCAAATAGATCGATTTATTAGGAAGTCACAGTAATGCTGAGTGTTCACTTATTGATACCTTTTTTTTTCTTTGATAGTGTATGTGAGTCATGGTTAAAGGCTCCTACATAAGTTAGGAATTCTTAGCAAAGAGGTAGGATGGATGCCGTTTGTTACGTAATGGATTTTACAGAATTCGCTTCAAGCAGAAGTCGACGATGTACGCGATTTGCGATGGGCAAAAGTATAAGTAACGAACAATATGAACTTCAAGCTAAAGACTGTTCTCATAACCTTAATGGATTATCCTGTTTACTGAGAATATCAGTTTTTCTAAGCATGTTACATTACAAACACAATATCACATAACTGTATCAACGACAATTGAGGCATCTGAAAGATAATCTTATCGACTATTAAAGAAGACCATCGATTGCAAAAAGGTACCTCCTTCCCGGGTAATCGATAATTATACACCGTTTTATGTAATCTATAAAAAAAAAAAAAAAAAAAAAAAAAAGACTAGAAATTCGGCTTGCTGTTGGCATATTATACGCATCTTACAACAACGAGTATTCCTGTAATTTAGCCAATTCAATACTTGGGTTTCACGGCTTACGTATTTGTACATTTTACCTTTCAAATGAAACGCTCAAGGATCTGGTCAAAGTTAATGCAATTTTAAGTGTTAAGAAAAAAAAGTTGTTAAAAATCAATGTGTTGGTGACCTCTGGTTTGGTACTGTACAGTTCTATAGTCGTGTAACACCGTACATGCTAGTATTTTTCATTTAAATCAACGTGTTATTCATTCTGCCGTACACCTATATGTGTCTTCCTACCTGTAATATGGTCCTAGTAAAAGCCTAGACCTAACTACATGCGGAACCGCAGTAGAAAGTGTGTAAATGCGCTTTACAGTTACTGAGTAGATGTTGACCCTGAACTGTAACACCATGTCGGCGCTTAGACATCAACACCCAGCCAGACAACAGGCCAGTTCTGTGTCGGACAAGTCAGATCGTGTGTTTGATTAACTTTTTGACCCACTTCCTCTAAACGAACGAACGCACAGCCTGAGCTGACTACGGACACTCATCGCTGGTGTCGACCCCAATTCGTTTTCAAAACGAGTGACCGCTAAACTATAATATCAAAATGCAAATTTTAGAATTCTCCGGAGTCAGCAATTCCCGACAGCATCACACGTCCTCTACAACTGAAACCGAGGACTCAGACGTGCAGTACTACTGCACGAACGTTTGAAATTTCGCTCACCGCCTGCAGTGTTTAACCTGCAGCCCATATGACTGGGTCGCTTCGAAGGGGCAGTAGCAACCCAGAATTCAGCAGTGAACGTGGCGGTCTAGAAAATAATCATTAATATTATTTGACAATTCATGATGAGAACTAATACGAATTGCATAGGATGAAATTAAATAACGCGATGATCGATTCTACGTTCAATAACTCTGTACGTGACGTAGTACGCAGTAGCTTTCGCCCAAAACGTATATTATTTTTGTCGCAAATGGACGAACGAGGCTTTTATCAGAATCTATAGGTTGGCCAACCTATAGATTATGATAAGCGTTGAAATATGACAAAATTCAAGGGAAGCGAAGGTAAATGGATTCAGGCTCCGGAAGAGCTCATTGAAATCGATGGTAAACTTCCGAGTAAATTACTAACAAGTAATAAGGTTTAACTTTAAATTGCGATATAGAGAGCGACGGACATACATGGAATAAACTTAGATTTTCCAGCAGATACCTAAACGAAAGCTTGTCAACTGTTGTTGACAAACAGCTTTGCTAGCAGGATTTGTCAACATGAAGTAGTTACTGGTTTGCGTTACCGCCGTCACACTTAGTCGCTAATAAAATGCCAAAAATTGAGTTTTTAATTTTGAAGTGGAGCAGGACCTATTCGTGTCTGCTTAAGTATTTTCACCCCATTTACCCATGCGGACCAGTTAAATCGTAGGGTCAAAAAAAGAACGTAAACACTTATCATTATAGTAAATGTGATAAACGCTGATATTGGATTGAATATTGCTGTTTGTATGATTTCCTTTCTATATAGAAACAATAGAAACGGCATAGAACAATATATAAAAAGCATATATTGTTCTATGCCGCCTCCCAACTGAACAATGCTCAAAGGATACCATTATTGTCGCGCAATAATGCTACTCGCTGCTATTGCTTTTGTGCGCTGTTCTTATGCAATATAAATTTACTTATTTTTAGCGTGTAAACAACTTTCTCATTTGGAAATTATGTACAAATATCGACGGCTCAGTGTAATTCGAACGAATATAGGAACACAGCTGGGGACCAACGTCTGATATCCTTTCCCTTCCCTTTGATATTTCTTACATAAGCCGTCCTAGGGCCGTCCTAGTTGCGACGACCTCATACAAGCTATCACTGATTTGAACTAAAATAGATTTTCCAGCCGCGCATTCAACAGAGGCAACAATATCTCTAATCTATCCTGTAACACTGTCGTTATTCTAACAAGGTATGTGTTTTTTCGTTTTGTAAATGCTGTCTTTTCAGAGACTGAGTACATCGCCGCTGTCGAAGCCATTGTTGAAGACGAACCGCGGGACAGCGAAGGCCCTCTATCCGCTTCTCGACGAAATTCAACTTCCATTGCCAGATTCTTTGCCAAGTTGAATTGGAAAGAGTGTTTCCTTTGTGCTGGGCAACCAGAGCCTAGTGCGATGACCAAGCTAAAGGAAAGCACAGATTGGCCGCGTCCTGAGCAGCTCAGACATCGGAAGGCCAAATTTGAAAGTAATGATTTAATAAACGCCGTCAATTTTTAAAAGAGCTCGTGTATAGCGGTTGTACACTCAAAACTACCAGTTAAATATAAATTAATATAGATACGCAGAAAATAAGCTAGTCATTCATCTGGCATTGTAAACGAAAAAAAAAAGAACGAAATCAAGATATTTCTATAACTATTGGTATCTGCAATATTTGTTTGTAGCTTAGCGAGAAATAGAACAATAGGAAACCTGCAAAAAATGTCACTCTCCATATAGCGTTGGTTAAACCAGCCAATAACTTAGCTGAGTATTGGTTATGTCGGTATTCGAACAATGGACTAATGTCAAAAAGCTGATGAAAGGAGAACAAGACTAAAAGGTGATCCTTTTATCATCATTCTCTATCACACATTTGTTATTATATCTATATATTATTACGTACTATTTTAGTTATTTGTCTCAACGGGGTACAGTTATAAAGTCAGAGGGTCGTTTGACGCTATCAAAGCGGGTGTCAGTGAGCGACAAGAATCTCACAAATACAATTCGAGACGGAGCCATGGTACAAGCCAGCTTCTGCGAGAAACAGTTACCTTTCTTGCCACCCTAGAAGATCTCGATGTGCCTGTAAGTATGTTTTAAACAACTGTCTATTACGAAATGAATACGTGTGAATGTAAGGTTAGAATGACGCGCCATGGGCGGCGCCGTAAAACCCACAAGGATCTCAGTGGTAAATGGAGAATCGCATCGTAGAAATTGCACATATATCTGTAAATGCTTTTGCCCTATGGGTAGCTTTACGTAGACCACATGTTTAGTTGCAGGGTTGCGAAGCTTTACCTTCTATTTCTACCTACTAGAAATATATATCCTGATAAGAAGATAAGGAGATGATAATAATAATAACATGATATTAGGGCAAATTAGACAAATTTTACAACTGTACCTTAATTAGTAATTAGAGCTAAAGTAGGGTAAAGTGGGCGCTGATAAATATTACTGGGTAGTTATAACGTATACAGTTATGAAGCGATTTCGAGTTCTCTGCAGAGGAACAAACCTTGCATCTTGCTTTATGCCCATGGAACTGATCGAACGTTGCATTCAATGAAATATTCAAGGCGAACCAAAATCATGCTGTAAATGAATGTCGCACTCTATTAATATCTAATTTTTGATATTTTACTGCAAATACGTTTTATACGTGGTAAGCTGAGTGTTTTCGGAGCGATATAGCCTACGGGTCATGGACAGCCCCTATCGCTGTTTTGCCTTTGATCACTTTCAACCCCTAGTGCTACCAAGGCGTACTCGAAGGTTACCCCCTTTTCTGTGAAGGTATAATAACTATTCATTGTATTGTCCGTAACTATTAAGTGGGCCGACGGATTTAGATAGATTTTAAACTATGAACCGTTATCAAGAGAACTCGCTTACATTGAATCTTTAGCTATTTATTGCTGTATATTGATTGAGTATCATCGGAAGATAATAAGCTGAAGAGAAAAATACCATTTAATATGAAAAATCAGCGCGTAGTGGTTAAAAGTCGGTTTCTCGAACGTAGGAGCCCTGGTAAGATCCGTCGAAGACTGGTAAAAAAACCTAATCAACGAGGGCTTCGGCGAAACTACATTATGTTATAGGCACGAAATTTTAAGAACGGAAACTGAAAGGTTAAATAAAGCTCACAAAGTAAGCAACTACATCTTAGACCCATAGAAACAAAGAAACTAACAAGCCAGAGTGTAGACAGCCCGCTCTCTGTGGGTTCAATATGTAATTCTTCAACACACATGTTATAACCCTAGAACGAAAATGCTGAAAATAAAGAAGACGAACAAAAATGATTTTCTTCAGTTCGGGACAGCTAGCGACACGGGTAGGGCATTCTTGGGAGGTGTTTGCCTAACCATCACCAACGGAAAATCGTCGGGAGCACATCGTCACAGTAGAGAAAACGTCCGTTAGTCTATACCGTCCAGTAAAGAAGGATCAAACGATATAATGGCGTCGAACAGATACTGCCTAAAGGAAAAGTGGTGCTGAATATACTGAGCTCCTGAAGAGCTACATGGACGTGTGGTGCGCGGCGTACGGCACGTTTACTTAAGGACAACGTACGACCTCATTCCAAGCTTCAATCACGCCCTGGACCGAGAAGAACAGGATCGAACAGTGGTTTCAATACCCACATAATTTAGATTAAAGTCCGTCCAACTTTGATTGTTTTTGGTTCCAAAAAGGCATAGGTGATGTAATGTATTTTAATACGGATCTTCTTAAACTCTCGATGAGTGACTAGCTTTAGTATGGCAATGCGAAGCGCAAGTAAATAGCTTTCGGGACGCACTAAGAGCCACTTCAAGGAAAAGTATATCTCGACAGCGTATAATTTCTCCGACGAGATAATAAATTATTTTTGAATCTCTTTAGAACAATTAAATTCTATTTGGATTTCAGACGTTTGCTATCGCGTGTCGCAACTTAGCTATTAGACTGATTTAGTTGAACATGGTGAAGTAACAATCAGTTCTTTTACGGTTCCTCTCGTATATCCAATAAAAATGTTCCCAGAATCAGTGTTTTTGCGTGTAAAGGTGACAGCCTTGGGCTGCGGCGCTGTAATGGTTAGTTCACCTAGGCAAAACAAAGCCTTTCTTAGTATAGCATGTGTCTGCTTAAACGCTGAACTACTGTCCGGCATTCAGATGTCCTATTCGTTTAGGGCCGAAAATAAACAGCGTTCAATAGGAGAAAATCTACTGCTGGAATTAATGAACAGTTCGATGATAACCAACTATTTAAGACGTAAACATTGGCCAAGGCGATCACGATGTTTGACTGTCAAACAGACTAAAAAAATGATGATACCGCAGCCACCCTCTATTCCCGTTGACATCTGGGAAGCTTCATCAGAATCTTTTTCACTGCGAAACAATTTGAATTGATAATGCTGAAATGAAGCGCATCATGTCGTTAAGGTTACGGAAAACGTCTGGGACGTAAACAGTGTGTTCTATATTGTGCAGTTTTTAACCTGGTGTTGTTGGGCACCACAGCAACTGGTCAAGAATTTCGAACAACCCATCGCCTATTCTTGTCTGGATGCGTAATAGCAGCTTGCTTTTTGAGCAGTATATGTATATCATTATACAATTTATCAGTCAATAATAGTAACCCCGATTTCTATATTGAATTACTATCGCAACTTACTTCCGTTTAGCTTTTTGTCGAATATGTCGAAAAAATAAGATGTATATTAAAATGTTTATATTAGCTTGTTCCGTTTGAAATGGCTCCATTTTTTCTAATTTCTAAATTTTTGCCGCTATAAGAGCCTGCGGCGCGAGAGGACATTAAGTGTCAAAAGGTCATTTTGATACTATATATGATATTGAGGTTTCCTTTTTTTTTTTAATTCAGAAGCTATCGAGATTTTAAAAAGTGCACCTTCTCTGGGGCCGATGTTTGGTGGGTGTAGCGGATTGGCAAGAATTTCCAATCGTAATCTCTACGTTTTTGCTACCGTGGTCGTCGTGCAAAATCAATGGTTCAGCGTCATTCGCTAATTTGGCTTGTTTAAAGCGGCACTTTTTTACCTGTTGTTTCAGCTGTCAACAACACATTTCAGTCGTCACTGGCAAAATGAAGCTCGTGAAATATCAATGGATCATACCTGCATTAGACTGTAAGCTTTTAGTTAGCCCAGGTTAATACTACTCATTCATAAGTCGGGACGAGAATGGGTCGCCGTGAAGGCAACGAGAAGCAAGCGTCTCTACACCTCAATTTTTGATCCTCCTTCAAATCACATGTCACCTATTCGTCCGTTTTTTTAATCTAAATTACCCGATTGAGATAAGCAAATATAGTTGGTATATTTACTAATTCACATCTTCAATTCCAACACTAATCTACGTTGAAATGGGTCGGCCTTTATCGAAGCTCGCAATTCAACTCCAGGGGGGAGTATGCCATGAGGTTTAAAAATATTCTGGATCCTTTTTAACCAAGTGTTTACGATGTCTTTGATTATAGAATTCTCACCGACTACAAGGTTTACTCGGCGATCTTTTCCGCCGCTATAACTCCAAGATGGAGGTCATATTCGTGTTCGAATTTTTTTCATCCTCCATGGTTTATGGATCCGTAACCGTTTTCGTTCTAGGAGACCTTCAGCAGCGTCAATAGAAATTATTTTGGCCAAGAGAATTAATTTTCGTAGTATTATTACGGTTACTAAAGAGTACCTTAAAAGAGCGTTTCCGAGAAAAAAAAGGGGTTAAATATGGACCCCTGCACTTGTAAGAGAACAAACAGGTCGTCTGAAAAACGGTTTTTCACACTGGGATCTTTCCATACAAATAGGCCCATATCTGCTGAACCAAAGTGCCTGATATTAAAAAATCATCAACGAGTATTAATGTGATATATAAATATTGAATTTCGTAAATTCCATAAAAAGCTGAGAATATGTGGCTTACATTTTATCAGAGACCAACTATTTTAAAAATGTAAAACAATTTTAGGCTATTTAACCAAATAAAAACAGTCTCCGATTTTCTTCAAATGTAGATCTTCATTAGTAACTAGATGATTAAAAAGAGGCTGCATTTTTAATCTAATTGTAACCGTCGTTGTCATTGTGCTGCAGTTGTTACGAGCTTATCTTGTACTGTTTCGTATAAGAATACATTTTAAAGAAGATGTTAACCGTCAGATTTGGAGTCGTTTGATCAGTGCAACCCAGCAGAGTTAATGACCTCGAAGCTCATTCTGCCCGCCCTATGGACGTTTTGCCGACCTTCGACTCCCTTTCACCAGGTGCTTCATCATACAACGCAGTAATATGCTACTGTTAGAAGATCAGAACCATGGGAATATATATTGCGGACGGTTACTGGCTTACCCACCAATCTGAACATCATAAAAGTAACACTGCTTCAGGAATACAAATGCAGGCCAACCAGGATCAGACGATAGGCAAGGCTTGCCCTTGATTCAGCTTATTCTAACCCGAACGAATCTGTACGGAGTGTGCTGTTGGAGAAGTGTGGGACCGTCCATTTAGCTAGGTGATGTGGACTTACAAAGAAACAAGGTTATCAAAATGTATGCTCTTAAATTATTTCAACAGTAAGAGGTTTTAAGTTTTCGACCTAGGTAATGGTGGTCAATTGACTGATGAATACTCATTGACCATGGCAGTCATTGGCGAGCATCAGTGGTTCACACTATGGCCTAGTCCCTGCTTTTATACTTATGCTACTATATTGTAGTTTTTAATGCATTCTTATTATTTAAACTATTCTATATATACATATAGTAGCCTGCAGTTGCGCCTATCGCCTTTTTCGGGAAAAGGATAGTATAAGGACAAGGAGAAAGTTAGCATAAATATGCAGCCATCTAACTGCTATTAAAAGTAAAATTTCTCCTATTTGTAAAATGTTGAAACAGTAAATCCTCGCATCGATAACAGATTCAATATGTCTCGGAATACAAATAGCAATTAAGTTTTAAAAATAATCGTAAGAAAGAATAAAAACATATTATTATTATTATTATTATAGAAACAATGCTAAGCAAGATAGAAATGCAATAAAGGAAATAATAAAATAGCAACTATTTGTTTTGACACCTTATACATTTTTCTTATTTCTGCAATGTAATACAGTTTGCATTTACCGAAAAGCCTTGAAGTTTAACTTCAGAACAAGTTTGTAGTTGCCTTTTTTTAATTATGGAACTTTTATTCGGTTTATTCTTTTATAAGCTAGTGATTTTTAACATGATGTGTTTTTTTTCAGTATATGAAATGACAAAAGGGGCGTCTCTTGGAATGTGTCGATATTTCAGTACTTAAGTAAGTCGACTTTGACGCGCAAGCGCGAAGTAACTGAGGTTTGAAAAAAAACATTAACAACACGATTATAAAGTAAATAAGGCAAGTTGAAATGCTATACATATATATTTCAGCCGAAAGAAAAAACGAATTAATGAAATAAAAGCAATTGGCTCTAACAATCCGAACGTCGAGCAGTTGTAACTGTAGTTGACAGCGCATAATAGAGATAATGGATTTCCTTCCGATCGACTTGTGATCCGAAAGCGATCATGTCTATCACACTTGATGATCTACTATGTACCCATAAAGAAAAAACAACGTATTGTGTTTTACGCTTTACCGACCTGGATTCGCTAGAAAACCAAGCACAATCTTGTAAAGAGCGAAGGCAATATACTTCCTCTAATCGGATGCATATAGCAGCAAAAACACATCTAATAACGGCAGTGAGGTGGTCTGGCCTTGAAACCGAACTTGGGCAGACGCACTTCGTTCTATACGCTGGGCTAGTGACCTGAAGTAATGCATGACAGCACGTGCCAAATCTGAAACTAAGAACATTGATTCGATCACTTTAGCCAACATGGCAGCTTTTTAGCGAAGACTTCAAATGGACGGACCTTATAGGAGGAGAGACCAGCCTGTAGGTGGAAAACTCTTGATTTTAAGGAAGCGATTCGTAGCGTGAAAAACAGACAATAATATATTGTTAGAGAATAATATATTATAGAAACAGATAATAAACAGATAAACAATAATAGCAGTGGTGTAAGGCAACTGATAAAAGTAACGCACTATCATTGTAGATAAACGTTGCTTTCTGAATTTTGCCTGTACCAGCTGAGAACTGGAAGACAAGCTTATGGAACATTGTAGCGGGAAGCTGGGCAGTTAAAAGTCTGCTAAAATAGAAAAAAAAAACAGAAAACACATTTTACAACAGGACGTTTATTCGATCGTTCAAGATCAAGGACAGAAGCTAAATCTGAAACGAGGAGAATCTCGGCAACTTTTTTTTATTAGACGTTGAGGGCAAAGTGACTAGACTTCACAACTGTGTCGTTTATCTGGTTCTGTGGGACTCTCACTCACTAAACCCCGGACCCCTCGAAGACTTGGGCTTTGGTTCGCAATATAGTTTAATATCACTTCGAAACCACAGCGTGTAGGAACAGGCGTTGGGCTACTATTCCCTTTGTCCTGTTCCGGTTCATCCTCTGTTCAGGCTCCCCTCCTCCACGGGTATGCTAACTCCCGGGCAGGTCTTGTGCCCCGCTCTGCCATAAGGGCCAAATGTAGAACATCGGATCGTTGCTCGTCTCGAGCTTGTCCTTCTATTGTTCTCTTGCAGCGCATCCTTTCGAGCTGTTCCTTTTTTCAATAATGTCGTCAAAGAAGGTCGTAACCTTATTCCAGTTTCCCCTGTTCTTCGTCATCATTTCCACCATTCCTTTTACGCTACCCTTTATTGCTTATCTCTGACCCCATTTAGTGCCTGATAGTAAAGCACAGTGTGCCTTACTTCGTCTTTCATGCCCGACGCGTAAAGTATGCAGGTGTCTGCTTGCGCCATACCAGTCCCTTTTCTCTTTGCCGAACTAAGCGTGGCTGGCATCCACGTAGATCGAAAAACAATTGCGGCGAGAAGCACGTTGTTCACGCACGTAATCGTTGACTACTAATGCGATTGCAACACAAATGGCAAAGAAGAACATCTCTTAGCAGTAGAATGGGATCTTTCTTGATGATATGAAGGTGCGCAGCCCTAAACCGCCAATGAATCATCAGTCAATTCAATAATCATTTGTTCCAACTAGAACTAGTTACTTGGCATTAATCGTATATTTTGCATTTTGTGAAATGTATACTAAGCGATAGGTCTCCGTTAAGAAACTGTGAAGATGGCGTGCAACAGCTAATAGGGTGGCCAGCCGAAGACGTTGCATCAAACATGTGAGGACCATTCAGGTACCTTGTGCCAAAGAATAGCGCACGAGGGACAGACGAATGCTGCGTGGACTCATGATGGCTAATAGCAATTGGCAAGTATTATAATAGGAATACAGATAATAAGCAGTTGCTATATATATATATAAGAACACGCGTATATATATGCGTGTTCCTGCATGGGTTATTTATCTGAGTTACTTTATATACGCAATGAATATCCTGATTTGCGCTGGAGCTGCGCTCACCCGTAGGAAATGCTCTGAGCAGTAAATTTATTATATATCGTTGACATGTCTGAAGAATATCGAAGGATCGTAAGGCACCGGGTCAACAATGTTGCTGTGTCCTTAAGGTTATTGTTGGGGTGACCTGAATTATGCTCTAACATGAAACGAATTGACAAAATCGGGCGCTCTGTTGAGGACATGCTCGAACTCCGATTGAGAAAGATGGCCATCGCTGTCAATATCTCCTTCATCCAAAACTTTTTCGATGACCACCTGCGAGAATAACACAATAGAACATTACATGGGGTCCCTTAAGACGAAAAATAGTGTTACATTTCGCTTTTGATTCTTATGCTGTATTCAGTCCCACGCAACCGTGAAGCTTCGTAAATTTTACTTATAAATTGTTATGTATTGATAATTTTCAAGTTGTTTCTTATCGCTGGAATCAGTTCAACGAAACTATATTGTGGTGGCCTGTCCAAGTAAAAAAAAAAAAAATGTCAACACAGAACATATTAGCAGGGATATGCTAGTTAAGGTATTCAAATCCTGGTAGTCACTAAACATCTCGACGGAATGGGTGAATTATGGAAGAGGAAAAATAATATAAAGTAATAAGCTAGATGTGGCCGTCCTCAGACGCCTCGGATAAAACGATCCGGATCAGACTAAGACGAACCTTTACAGCTATTTGTCTTCACCATAGAAACACCATAGAAAACATAAAGAGTTGTCGTGAAGATATCGAACTAGTGGCAACTGAAGCCCAAGTTGCAGCCGCAGATTTCCAGCGAACTGTTGCTGTCGCCCACCACAAACCCCAAAACAAGCTAAACTATGGATACGAACAAAATGCAGCAGCTAGACGGAATACTATAAACAAACCATTTTATCATATTTAAGCTTACCATAATTGGCAAGACGATTTGCCCTCAAACTATCAATTCATATGTGTAATTAGTTAAATTCATTGACAACAATTAGAAAACGATTGCCATTATTAATATAGTTCAGTGTAGCTAGGCCAAAAATTTTCTCTTCTTAGAGGAGCGATTCAAAGTTTTCCATTATCTGAGTTGTATTTTGTTAAACAACTCATGTATATTTGGTTCTTTTTTTTTCTGTAAGGCGTTTTTTTTTTTACGAAAGTCGTTTATTTCACTCTAGGACTTAGCGCACAACTACCGGACCTGGTGACGACAATACGACTGTTCATTCTACACTTGAAGACGCAAATAAAGGCCCTGAAAACCCTAAACAGATCTCTCTTCTTTCTTTTCTTCGAATCCTTTCATCGAATACTGTTCTATATGTATATTTATTATGATAAATATATTGTTAACTTACGGGGCAGACCAATCAGTAGCAATTAAAATAGAAAGCACTGGTACCATTTCTATTTTTGCGACGACAATTCTATAATAGAGCGCTATTAAAATGTATGTTTAAAATGTATGCATAAGTTCAAATTATATATTGTCGAAATCTAGAAAAAATGTTTACGATCCTATTCAGAAGCCCCACACAAATAGTTGCTTTCCTATGGGAATCAAGGGGTACACGTAAATTTTAAATAAAATGAACTAGCTTCCTAAGGGTGCAAACAAACAATTTCAGTTGGGTTGACAGATTATGAGCGACAAAAATCAATTTATTTAATTTTAATATAGGAAGGATATGCCTCTTTAATGTAAGATATGCCAGATTGTTCCAAATAGTTTTCACACGGACCATGGCCCAGTATTGTTGGTGGACACACGGAAGTGTCTACCCTAATAACAGAACGATTTTCAATCGGCAATTAAAGAACACCTTGATTTGCACAGAGGAAAGCCTTTTCGTTGTTGCATGTATAAGAGTTTCCATTGGTTTATATATCGCTACGTGTACGTTACCTTGATATCATCCGGAGTTAGTTCGTTTTTCGTGAGAGCGATCGTTGCCAATTCGATGTCTTTCGGCCCGAGTTTGCCATCGTTGTCGTAATCATAAATTTTGAAAGCATAGTACATCTTGATATTTTTAGGAGCGGCCTCGCTGAATACGCTGAGCATGTCGAGAAAGTCTTCAAAGCAAACGTTTCCACTGCCCGTCTCCGAGAAGACTTCGGCAATCCGTCGACGAAAGGGATTTTCTTTAAACTCGGGCATCTTTTCAATTTTCTCCACGGACGCCTCGACGGTTCTACCCTCGTCACCGGTCATTACCTATAAGCGACCGAGTCGTCGCCACAACAACGGAATGACAATTAAAAACAGCTGCTTATCGTCTACTTATAGCTGCTACGTACGTGTTTTCTCAAGGCGGTTACAAAGGACAGCTTGCTTGATACCTAACGTCGTCAATGACATAAACGTCAAAGATGAAAGGATATATAGAAGCAAGCAACACACTGCGGCCGGTTCCGACAGTCATCATTGATTATCTATGTTTATTTAAAGGGGATGTGCTGGCCGGAAATTCTGGCAGCCCTGTTCCTTGCCTAGTCATCCAGCAAGACTTCTACCAATTGGAGAAATGTATCTAATAAAAAGAGACTTTAAAAAAGAATCCTAATTAGCTTATTTTCAACATGCTTCAACGATTACGAACACAATGGATCACCCTGGTATCAGCATATCGTATAGACGTTTCAGCAAAACCATTCGCGTACACGTAAGACGGCATTTACCGCCGGCCTCTGCTCTCTTTTGATATGTTCAGAGAAAACGATAGCGAAGTTGCTAGATCAAGAAGGACGCATTACGTCCTAGTTGTAACGTTTTGTCGGTTTACTTTGGCCAATAAAGATTATGAAACTGATTTTAAAACCGAAGCTGCATTTAGTGCGTGTTCTTCAAAATCGGCAACGGGACGGAGGCGACGTACGATCTGCCTTATTGAAGTCGGGTAGCTCTTAGTACCCATACGTTCGAATGGCCCAGAGACGACGAACATCAATCCAACTATCCTAGGGATAAATATGTAATATTGCGTGCCTCTATTAAATGTCAGGGCAAAATGGGCCGATATTAACAGCGTATTTAGCTAGTAAAATACGATCCACGTTTAACCCCCTACAAATAGTAGTAAGTGTAAAAAGCTATCCAGTAATACCTATGAGTTTTCACACGAAACGTAAAAGAACAAAGCATGAGAGAGTTGCCAGAACAATGAAAACGGTACGATACGTTACTGCAACCTGGTATAGGAGTGCAGGACCTGCTCCTGAGTTCAAACATAACATTACGTTACCATCTGGATTTTTACGAGAAAATTGAAAACTTCAGCTGTAAAGCGATTTGGTTGCCACCCATAAAAATAGGAAACTCAAACTGGCGAACACATTATAGAACATATTACAGAGGAACAGTTGTTTGCAAGCACGAAATGTATTTAATTTTATAAAAATAGATCTTCCCTATCAGTAAAAATTTAATAGTCGTACGACGTGCCTCAAGTGTTTTTTGTTTGGCTTTATCCGGTAGTGCGCTCTGTATACTACGTCGCGCAAAGGGACAGAGACACTTTTCATATAAAAATTCTCTTGGCTTCTTGTCAGTGACTCTATGTAAAGAGTTCCTACTTTCGCGCAATAACCAATACTTGCATGGTAGCGGTGGCGACCGTTCCTGTTATAAAAATGCATCCAGTGGCAACAGTCGTAATTATCGCAATGAACAGCACGTTTCGTAATCCACAGTGGGCCCAGGCATCGCGGGTTGATGTCTCACTGAGGCACCAGATTGGATAGTGAAGAACCGGCTTCACATTAGGGCTGACACTCGACAATGCAAACCTGCTCGGTTTCGGCAGGGGGACTAAAATGGGCTCGGTTATAATGTGAGCCCTATCTAGAATAACTTTCGTAGTAATAGCACATGGCTCAAATATATAGGGAGCATAAGTTAAGAGTCAGCTGTGGAAAGAGGTCGTCCTTTATTATTCCAACATAAGACGACAGTTTAACCGTCTTCAATACCCTTCAAATAATCTAACAAAGTGTAGATCAACAAGCCAGTTGAACACATGCTTTATTCTACTGAGCTGAAATTGGTAATCGATGTACTTCACTATTTAAGCGTATTTTTACATTAAACATAGATAGTCCTTCATTTACCATATATTCGTAGCGATGGTCGAGGTAGGACAACAGATATTGCAAGATGCACCCAAATTTGCCGTAAAACAGGAGCACGAATGCTGTTAGGAAGCTGAGTGAAGTAAACAGCATCAGATGAGACCGAAAATGTCGCTTGACCCCAGATCCTGAGGAATAAGTTTCGCCTGTTCGTATGTCGGCTGAGATTAAACGGAAAATTTCACAAGTAGCCCAACCCTAAAGCATGCTTTTTTCTTCTCTATTTTTAGCAAGCACTTACTGAGAGTAGATTTCCACACTGGCATTTTTCTAACTTTGCAGAATTTATATAAATCTGTGTACAGCGGAAAGAATTTGCACGATTAAGGTAATTCTTGTATGTCAAAGCTGGCATCACGTGAGTCGTATTTAGAAACAGTTTTGCGTAGATTGCGCGTTTACGAAACACGTTACTTACAGCCATAATAACATTTGAGCCATAATGACATTTGTCTTCAAATGAATCTTATCGGATGACAGATTCAACCAGTGAACTAGCCCTTCATCGTCTATATCTTGCTACTGCTGCAAGAAGATTTCAGAGGCAGACGCCCGTGTTGGGTCGACATTATCAGCTGCCAAGTAATTTTACTCGGAACCGTTATTAAGGGCTGTTCAAATATTCACAAGCTACTCATCATCTTTCAGTGAAAGGCTTATGGATTCGAAACGCTCTAGGACGTTCTTCTTGCTAGACAATGATGTCAAAAGTAAGGTGTCCATCGCAATGGTTGACTCCAATACGAAATCCAAAGACAAAAGTAGCTCGCGTATATGAATAAAGATCATCTTCTCCGTGACGACAGTCACGGGATCAATTAGAAACGATCGACTATTTTTTGAAGAACGTTCTATACCTCGTTATTTTTTCTTTTTACGTTTACTCAGTCAATGAACAGCATTGCGGAAGCCATCACGTATGAACAAGTGGTACTTGTCTTGCTAAAGTGTGCTTCACTTCCTACGCAGCTAGGCTGCACCCGGCTCAAATTTGACCTTGAGGCCTAACTAGAAAGTTTGTTTTTCCGGATTTTAAAAAGGCGGGCTGGAAAGGCCACGTGGTATTACGCTTCGATTACGTGATACGTATAGCCCGTCGTGCACCGTCAAGACGATTTTAGATTTTGTCATGTTGCCTTACAAACGGATTGCAGATGAGTGCTGCATTATCATTTGTGGATATATATGTACACACTCGTTCGCGTGTTCGCATCGCTCTCTGTTTGCAAGGTCGGCTCTTTTGACGACCAAGAAACGTAAGCGATAAACTATAAACATAAAGAAACCGTATTGCTTGAGCGTTCTCCTAAAATGCGTATTTCTTAACGAGTACGTAATTTAAAAAATATAACCCAAACATCTTGAGCATTACTTTTGAGCATTTTGCAAAAGCGGGCTTTGAAGCTGATTTTAGAGAATGGTATTCGTGAAATGGGAGCACAAATACTGCAGAAGTGCTGGTACTTGAAGTAACTTAAATTCGTACTTTTTATCTTTTGCACATTTGAGTGCTTACGAACGATAACAAAGGGTGAGTTGGAATAACCAAACAACTAAATAAATGACCGTGCAAGGTTCTACAAAGGGGTTTTCCACTTTTTAATTAATATTCAGCCAAAGAAACTTTTCATAGGTCATAGACAAGCATTAACGCTGATTTGTACAAAGTGCTTGTCATTATCGGAACGCCCTAGAAAACGTTTTAAAAGTCGATTCTTTACGAGCTACGAGAGTTTTTATTTGTGTGTTTCGTGTCGCGGCATTACGTTTATGAAAGCTGCATTGTATATACACTCAAAGAGAGTTGTTTCGCGTAAACACTTCATGGCATTGTATGCTCTAAGTACTACTATAGATATTAGACAGGCTGACATTTCAGTAAATATTCACACGGACATACGACTCATCGATATTTGGAGAGAAACTCAAACAGGCACTGCAACAGTCCGCAGAAAGAGTGAACGTTACGGAAGTTCGAGAGGAAAAAGATCATCAGGCCACATAGGTCAGAATGGCGAAAAGATCTATAAGAATGTGGAAAGTATCGCTTACGAAAGCGTTTCAGGCAGACAACCACTATATAGAATCTAAACAATTTGAAAGAACGTACAACAGATGTTCAGAAGTACCCAGATCAGGCAGCCTATAGAAAAAGGAGAACGAAGATGTAAGGAAAATATAGTTTAAAGATGTGCAGGAATGACAGAAAAGAGCTCGGTCGCCCTTAAGGAATATACACAAACCCTAGAGCATTGAATCCGTTAGTATGGGTCGGCATAGTATAAGCGAACGTGTTGATGCTTGCATATAATCAACAAAGCAGAAATTAGGAATGTCAAAAAGTGGGCTGTTATAGTACGTTTTTAGTATAACTGCAATATACATATATATATGCGATGTGAGGGTGAGACATACTGTTACAGTATAATATAGCGAAAGGCGGCCAAATAGTGCTATTGTAATTTTCAGCAAGACGTTCGTCGATCATAAATGTTCTGGTAAAATGATTAAAAAAAAAATAAATGATGATGGTAATGTTCGAAAAAACTTGACTAGAGAAACGTGTAATTAGCATGTTTGAAACGACATACCGTACGTGTCATCGGTCGGAATCGAAATAAGATAACTATATCTAGAAAATGCCAACCCTCTCTCGAGTGACTCTCTATCGACTATGTCCAAATTCTTTGAACTCACGCAATCACGTACCATACACGATAATCTCAACCTGGGCTGTTCTGTGACCATATGCGTTCAAGCGGCCAGTGTTGCATTAACCGGATTACATGAGCCGACCTCTAAATTGTGAGTAAGCTAACGATCGTTTTGGGATCGAAAATAAAAATATTTTTTGTCCGACAAAAATAAAAAACGACGGTTGCTTTGCTATTGAAAAAAAATTAAGAAACTCCTTGGCTTTATTGGCCAGAAAGGGCGTCCGTTTGACCTTTGTAACATACGACGTACATCTAAAGTCTTTGGCGACATCGTAGCCCTAATCACATAAAGTTGTCTCGTTAACGACCTAATCGAAATAGGTCGATCGTCAGAAATGCAATTTTGGATAACGTCGATTAACTCCGGCTTCTACCTCGTTTTTGTCTATAATAGATTTTCCGTTAAGCTATGCAGGAACCTGCCTTTTCTCCAGTCCCATGCTCATTTACAAGCCTGTAGAGTGTCAATTTGGGCTAATAGAAAAAAAAAAAAACTTATTGCATCGTTGGCACTTTTTTACTGCGCAAATGTTTACATCCTTATTGAAACCAGTTTTTTTCTCCGGTAGAACCAGTTTCGGACAAATGTAATTGTAGTTGAGCCACCCGGTAAATAAGCACTGCACGTGTACATCCGCAAGCATTTTCACATGAGTAAGCCATGAAAAAAAAAGGTTTGCAAAAATCTACCTCTTGACCTAACCACATACTTGCGCGCCCAAAGAATTCCAAACACCCGTATAATCATCTTAGAGATCCACACGAACTCCCCCACAGAGTTAGTTCCATGAGGCAAATCGCATTGGGTAAAAGAAAGAACTTTGGCTAGAAGGGGGTTACCATCCCTCTCAGAAGACCGTACTTTTAAGATTAAAAAGCGCAATTCGAAAAAAAATTAAGCAGATGCCATATGTAGTATAGTTTTACAGGATTTGTTATCATGCAAATGCAACACCAATGCAGCACACTTTCTTATTAATTGTTCCTGGTGTTTTGTGCACTAATCATTTTTAATACTTACTGTTTTTAAGAAAATTCTATGCTTACTTCGTTCTTTCTGCTCCCTGAAAAAACGTTCATAGATAGAAGTGAAAGTAAAATTGCAAGGTATAGCTAAATTTGGTAACATTGTTTATACATACCGGATATTTGCTTAAGTCCAGCTGTCGTATCTAACGTTATAATAACTTCTGAAGAAACTTTTGCGTCCTCTTGTCAGTAGGCAGGCGATAGGGCGGAGTTCTTTTTTACTGTCATTCGGCAGTTTAAGCTACCGAGGTAGTTTTCATTTAAAAAAAAAAATAAAAACGGCATAAGGTAACTTTGAAATACTGAACGTCTACAGATACGATGTCAGTCGGTATAATGTAAATAACCTACACTGGATCACATTATTTCAGCTATATAAAATCAGCAGCGTGATTTTTTTGAGGGGTGAGAACGAACGCGATACAGTTTTTGCGAGCGCCACTCACGACGCTTTTAAGCTATTTTTTTTTCGGTCACGGTAGCTTGCAAAAATAGCCTGTTTCCTATTTTTCGGAAATTTATTCTTCGCCTATACGTACTTTTAGTGCTTTCTTAAGGCGAGCACACCGTTTCAAAATTGCGTATTCAATAACTCTCGAAAATTTAACCATGTAACGAATCTTGTCAGCAAGTTTGCGCTGTTGATAACATATAATGATAAACATCACCTCCCGATGTTTTCGTTTTGGGTTCTACTGCGTTTTTTTTTCGAACCCAGATTGAAATCAGATAAAATAAATGTTAATGGATAGCTAGGCCTTCTTAGTACAGCAAGGTAAGCAAACAGCTTTTCCGTCGCTTAAAACTTTCTATTCAACACTGAGCAAAATCAAGCAAAAAAAAATCAGCCCGGATATAAGTTTACCCAATATAAAGGAATCAACGAAACTTACCTGTGGAATGTTTTGAGGATCAAGCTCAACAAATTTTTGTTGAATTCGAAGGATCTCCTTGCGAGTAAAGTAGGTACAATCTTGAAGGTCCTCAAGCTGTTCCTCTGTGAGCTTCGGAACTTTGTTTCCCATCTTCTTTATAATAACAATAATAATAATAAGATAACTAAAATAAAGCCAACAACAAGAAAAGTGTCAAGTATATCGAAAGCGAAAGAATGGGCATGTCTGCATAGTTTTTGCAATGCATTAACAAAAGTTAATGTTATATATTAATAAAAGTTAATAATAACAAAAGACTAAACATAGAAAGAACGAACGAAAATGATAAGTATAAATATATTTACATATACATAGCGTGGGCAAGTGTTATGAACATCAGACCTACTACTGATCGGTTTGACCATTTGCAATCTTCTTTAGATTAAAGGTCTACGTATTTACACGTTATCGCCATTAAACTTTACTTCATGGAGACAATATTTTTTTTTAGACTGCGTACGGTTTTTTTCAGTTGGGTAATTAATTTCAATCGGGTACGGTAGGGACAAGGGTTCACGAAATATCGGTAGATTTAGTATAGAAAAAATATCGTTAAATTAAAGACACTATAATTAAGTTATATTGGTCCTAATGTTTCTCTATACGAAATCTAACGGTTTATCCGCTGATGTTAACCTTTTTTTCCGATTTATGTCTCTGAATATATGTGCTTCTAGATCAGAGAGTTTTCGAGCGATATCGGCTCCTGAAACTGAATGCTACGTCAGTCAAATCTGATCAATGGCAGGTCTGATGATGTAGCTCTTATCGCCGTGGGATGGTCCAATGACACCGCTTTCCTGACAGTCGTGATACAAATGATTTGTATGTTCATATCGATGTTTGAGCTTCATACGATTGGTGAAGATTTACACAAAAAAATATGCTGAATCCTCTAATCACTCAAATACTCTTGCTTAAAGACAATATTAAGATAGTAGTGGAAAAGCCTCGACAGAGGTAAAAATAATGCGTCTCTATGCGAAAGCTACGATACGAGCAAAGTCTGGGTACGACGATCTAATTCGTTTATAAATATATAATTTAATTAACTATTCGCTCGTGAAGATCGCAAAATCCGCTTAAATTCCGCGCGGGTTTGTGTCGAAACACGGCAAAGGCATCGTATAAATAATGTCGTCTTTTTTTTTACATTCAAGAGTAATTTTTATATCCAAATAAAATACATTAAACATTTTGGCTGTCTGGCGTTTTTACTACATCAATACATGCTTGTCCAATAGCGTTCTCCTGCGGTTATGTACGCTAAATGGGCAAACGGAAAAACATCATTCGCGTACTTATATTCTCGAAGAACGACGCGTTTTCCCAGTGAAAACTATGAAAAGGATAGAATAATATTGCAAACGTTCCCATAGCCATATTATGCTATGCATGACCACCCAGCCAAACATACCAGCCGTCTGTTCACGGACCAGGTTACATGAAAAGTGCCAAGCAGTAGGAAGTACTTTCGTTGCTTAGATAATTTTATTAGGTAGTTTAGTACAAGTGGCAGCAGGCATCAAAGAAACGAGCACTAGGCTCGAGACGAAGCACGTGTTACGGTAAAGACGTTGCGGCCTGAGGGCGAATATCTACATATGCATGTAGAGAATGGTAAACTGTTTCAACAAAGTACCACACGATACATACGAATGTCCTTAATTTTTATTTATATTTAAGAGGCCTGCAAAGAATTCGGTTTCATAACACAGGACGACAGGTAATGAGAACGAGTTTAATATCAACTATTCTTTTTACCTGGTTTCTTTGCACTCCTTCATAAGAGTCGACACAAGTGTCGCATTGGTAATGAGGCCTATGGCAAGAAAATTACTTGAAGTAAGATAAATCCGCTTAGCTCTGGGATAATTGGTCTGAATTATGTGCGCACCGAGCTCCGGCCAGTTATACGTGACCTTTACACGACTGAAGTTTAGACATAGTCAGTCTTGGCCAGTACCATCGATTAGATCCCCAATGTCCAGCAGAGAACAAGCTTTTCTTCCTTTTTCACTATCTTGCGTTCTACTTAAGCATAGTATGGCTTCAAAAAACGAGGGACTGACCATACTTTTGACAACCAAGGTCGGGCGGATGGCACCACGTATTAGATGAAAATAGAGATAGACCGGCGCACTTTGAGCTGCTAGACCATATCATCATTATAAGTAATAAAACAAAAATTGTAAAGTAACGTATCAAAGCAGCCCTTTTGATCTGCTCCTAGTTCTACATGAATGAAAGTTTCCAGTTAAAGAACAATTGACCCCATCACTTGAAACGCACGCTGCTACTACGTCATCGTGTCAGCGAGTCGATTTGTAATATTTTAGTGCTCTAGAGAGAAGATTATCGTTCTTCATTTTATAGCTACTATATAAGATCTAATACAATATATTCCACAACAAGATGTGTTCTTCGGCTAATGATCGGAACTTGGAACAGGCACTAGTAGTTCAGAAGTATATTCTCAGAGGGATAACCATGTACCAAGGCAAATGGCTTTAATACGGCGTCTAGGCGCAAAATGCAATAGTATGACGTTTCTCGTTAGGAACCCTATGAGCAAGAACATTTTTTTGTCTACATTAAGCTAACCATCATAAAAGCAGCCGCGTTTAGTGTTACAAATGCCCTAAGAAAAATATTCGATTTTGTGCCCGAACGTCAATTAGGCGCACAATCGATCGTCTTTTGTGTGGTGTTATACATAAAGCCAGCGTAAAAAAATGTAACTCGGCACTGCCGATTTATTGTCCTGAGTCACGTACCGTAATGGCCAACCTGGCTGGCATCCGTCACAAGTTCACTGGTCCATTCGCTACTTACGAAGAGCAGATATGCCAAACTTATTATAAAGTTTAATGGCATATGCAAAGATCACCATCGTCATTTTACAATTTATCCGATACGTCTTGCCGGATATAAAATTTAAGCTTTTCGAGCTTTGTCGTTTTTCATGGCTGACTAGAGTTGCGTGACTATTAAAAGCGCCCCAAAATCGTTTGTCAAAGTGCCTACATTATCAGCCCTACCTATAATTTATCAAAATGACGAAATCAGGGATTGCGAACCCTTTAGCTACAAGGACGTAGATATTTATAGATCTCAAAGTATTTATATTTACTTCATGCATAGGTTAGAGCTGTGGGGATGAAGTTCAATAAACAACTCTGTTTATGTAGCGCTGAAAGACCTCATACTGATGAAATCTGGATATGTGGCCGAGCATATAAACCCACGGGGAACTCCTACCTGCGTGCATCATACAATGATAAATAATTTTCTGTCTGTAAGATCAACAGGATGTAATTGCTTTCATGCAGCGTCGTATGACAGATCTGAGAGATGATCAAACGTTTTGTCTAGCTAACGTTCGGATTTGGCAGGATAACTTCTGTGCTTCCTACTTAGGAGTCTTCATACGAAACTATTGCTTCACAAAGCTATGCACCATTCGAAACCTTGATTTCACTTTATGGAAAGTAGGTCAATTCAAGTTACCATGCTATATTTGATTATATTACGACTATCACAAGCTCATAGTGACACGTCGCTCCCTTGTTGTCACACCTTCTTTTTTTATCCGTATTCTATTTTACTGTCGCTACATCATGTACAAGATGTTGGCACAAGACAGCAGAAAGGGTCGACGAATCGCGTAGACGTTGCCCCTGTTACGAACATCAAAATATCGGCGATAGAATAGTATTGCCTCAAATGTCCATTTCATTTTTCTATCAAGAGGCATCACGAACAAATTATTCTACACCTTTTTTACGCGTAATTTCAGTTTATAAATCTGATTGGGCATGGTAGCGGTTCTAAGCAATTTAATTACTTTTTGAGAGAAGTCGTGATTTGCGGCTCACCGAAGAACATTCTGTGTTATTCGATAATAATTACCCATTCTTTGTGATGTCCTTGACGAGGGAACAGTAGATAGGGTTATGCAATAAAAAGTCACAGTGAAAATAGACTTCAAGTGAAGTTTTGAGATTGTACAGTCGCCGAGACCATCACAAACATTTCTAAATA